TTTAAAACCAATGACAGGAATTTCCCCAGGTTATGTAAATGACGCAGGTAATTTGATGTTCTGTACCCAGAGTGAGTTAATATGAAATAATTTCACAAGATGGCATGATTCAGGCATAGAAAGCAGAAGATAATGGTAATTTATCTGCTTCTTGAATTCAGGACACCCTACTTATTCCCAGCGAGAATTACGCTTTGCTTCTTCCTTGTTTCGTTAGTTCATCTAGAGGTCCCTGGTGGAATTTTTAACAGAGACTGTATTAGTAATGCTCATGGCATCATCCACGTGTAAGGAGTCTGTTGTTATGGAATCAGATAGTAAAATCACACAATACATTTCTTTTCCTTCCAGGAAGCAGAAGGTGACAATTTCTTGTGCCATTCATTGCATTGACATTGTCAGCTCCTTCAAATATTTTGATGACACACATCGACTTAAGGCACTTGCTGAAATTTCCTGTGTTAAAGGAATAGCAAAATGCACACTGAAGGCACATCCTAATATATCATATGTGTGGGCAATTCCCATAGTTCAGAGCTTTCCAAACCGTGTGTTGCAACATGTTAATGTGTTGGCTGCAGTGTGTAGGTGTGTCATGCTCCCCACTCTCCTCCTGGGACTAGAAAGTGGTTAGGTTAACCTCTGGTTTGCTAGTAAAACTGAATTACTGTGTCACGAAATGATGCATGTCTAAAAAAATGTGTCGCCAACATGAAATGTTCAGAAAGCTCTGCCACAGTTCATGCCTCGGCAATGTCCACATAGCTGGCAGGAAGAACTGTGGCACCAGCAGGTGGTGTACACTGTATATAGCTAGCTTCTCACCCTGGGACAAGTGGAACAACTCCCCTACTTTAGGCTGTGTGCCTCAGCCACCCCTATCAGGTAAACAATAAGTCATCATCTTGTCAACAGCTCCTTGCTGTTGTACACACTGCATATTTCTTAACGGTTAAAATTATTCAGAGAGAATTTCATCACACCCACTCAACATTATACAGCTAGGTTGAAACTGAAAAACTGAAAACAGTACCCAAGCATTCACTCAGAAACATGTTGTAATGATGATGGCCCACAGCTTGACAGCCATGGACGACACCCTACAGGCAGGAACACAACCAGTGTCTCATCAATGTCTCACCATGGCCTCAACCTCAACCCCAGAAGGCTGACTTGTAAAATACAATGGTTGATGGTCCCCAAAGCCACTGAGAGAGCAAGGAGACCTAACAGTCACCCACCCATATCTCCAAGACCTTCTTTCTCAGCTCTGGCAGGGAGGTTGTTGCATGGTGGGGTGGGTGGGACTTCAACAGGATCTCAATGACCCAACACTATGTGCAGATCCTTAACCCAAGCCTAATGGCTTCCTGATGAAAGATGAAATGGTGTAAACAGCAGAGGTTCTATCAGTGTCTTGGTTCATTCACCAAAGGGGAGATCTCTGATAGGCCCTAGTCTGGTGTTCTCACCACAGAAGAGAAGCTGGCTAAACAGCCCCTTTGCCCATTCCACATGCACAGGTGGAAGAAGCTGTGGTGCTATTAAGGAGAGAGATTTTGGAATCTGGATGTGCTAGGTCAAACAGGAAGCTTCTATGAGCCAGGCTGACCCTTGCGGAGGCTCCCTGCCCAGTTCAGCACCCTGAAAGGCCATACAGAAGGCCTGTATGGTACAGGAAGTACTTAAGTACAGGAAACTCCACACTTCAAATGTTTGCCTTCCAAATGATGGAAGGTGATGGGGACAGGAACAGCAGAGTTAGCACGCTCACCCCCACTGTCTCTTGCATGTTAAATCAACACAGAAGTGGAATGTCTGCTCCTTCTACCCTCTTCATTGTCCTTTTCATATTTATGAGAGAATGGTGTTCATCAGTGCAAAATAGTTGTTCAGTAAAAGGTAAAGGTAAAGGACCCCTGACAGTTAAATCCAGTCTCGAACGACTCTGGGGTTGCGGCACTCATCTTGTTTTACTAGCCGAGGGAGCAGATGTTTGTCCACAGACAGTTTTTCTGGGTCATGTGGCCAGCATGATTAAGCTGTTTCTGGAGAAACCAGAGTGCACGGAAACACCGTTTACCTTCCTGCCGGAGCGGTACCTATTTATCTACTTGCACTTTGATGTGCTTTCAAACTGCTAGGTTGGCAGGAGCAGGGACAGAGCAAAGGGAGCTCACCCCGTTGCGGGGATTTGAACCGCCGACCTTCTGATCGGCAAGCCCTAGGCTCTGTGGTTTAGACCACAGTGCCACCCACGTCCCCTAAGTTGTTCAGTAGAAATCAATAAATAGCAACATGGATGGAAAAGAACAGAAGGCGGAAATGATGGTTAATCACATGGGTAAACACACATCGAGGCTGTAATCTGTACTCTCTGCCCCCATGGTAAACCTAGTATAACCATGAGACTGGCTTCTCTAGGTTGCCAAAGTATTTGTGGAAGGGGTGTAACAAAGGTCCCAAAGTGTTGCAGGAAGCTCCAGGTGGCAGTCCGCTTGTCCATGCAATTACAGCCACCACATGGGACATTTTTAAACAAATGACTGTGTTGCAACCAATATCCTGTGTTGTCAGCAATAACTTGTATCCACCTTGATTTTATAGCACCAGTGTATTATCAGTGTAAATATCTCCACTTTTGTTGCTGGGGAAAAAAAAGATGGGTATACCCTCTAATTATAGGCATCTACTTCTCCTTTTGAGATATGAACATGGTCATTTGCTTCCTCCGTCAATGGAATGATTTGCTTCCTGAGTCAACAAGTGATATGTTCTGGGCTTTTATTACCACAGTAGGGAAGGATTATGTACCCAGAGCAGCTGTTGGGCAGCAACATGATCACTATGGACTGTTTGTATCTGCTTACTAAACAAAGATGCAGTAGCAGAGGCCACTCATCTTCTCTCTCTCGCCCGCAAGTTTCTAGGGATAATTATGCTTTTAGAAGAGTGTAAAATGTAGAACACAAGTGCATAAACAGTTGGATCATGTGTGCTTGAAATTTGTTCTGATCTGAATTAAAACTTAATCAACTACATTTGTCTTTTTAAAAAGAACTTCAAGAATGTGTGTGAGAGACAGGCAGACAGAGGCTACAGAGTTAAATTCCCCATATTAAAAAAGTTACAATTTCTGGCCATGTTCCTGACCGTACATAAATCTGTTTGTTGGAAATAAGCATTCCTCCAACGTCTCAACAACTATAAATCTGGCTGATGTGTTTTAAAGGATGTGTCACTTTATTAGTAGATGGCTTGCTAATTTCTCCAAACTGCTCCAAACACTTTACACCATCAGCACCAGGCCTCTTACAGTTCAGGAATGGGGTGAAGAAGCCATCAAAGGCCTTCTGCATAAAACCAGATGCAAAAGAAAAATTCTGCACATCCTCAAGCACATTCCTCTCTTTTATTATAATTCACAGACTCTAACCTTGGCAATGAAAACAAATCCCAATATTAAGCACCGGCTGAAATCACACCCTAGCAAAGTTGCCCTAAATTCGGAAATGTTTTGCTCTGGACACCTCACACTTACAAGAAACTTAACTTTATCCACCCAGCCCAGAAGGATGTGTCTGGGAAACTGCCTCTCCTGGGCTGGGAAACGGTTCAGAGGTCATTCCAGCTGGAAGCGCCCCCGCAAACCTTCCCGCTGTCTTGCTAATTCCAAAGTTGCTGCCGGTAGTTCTCTCCACACTGACCCCTTCCTGAGCTTCTTTGATCTTCTGCTAGTTCTCGCTCAAAGCAGCAGCGCACCGAGAGGGGGAGCAAAGGAAAGAGAAACGAGTGAAGTCCCGTTAGGAACTGCTCCAGATTTATTCTTTTGGGGGCTGGGGGTGGGCAGACAGCAGAGTCTTGTGTCAAGTTAAAGGCGGCTGCAGCTTTATCATGGCATAAACTTTCGTGGACCATCAGATCACTTGCAAGAAGTGGTCCCCCCCCCCCCCAAGTTGGCAGTAATACGGTAAGTTGTGGGTGGTAGTAAGTTGCGAGCTTCGAGGGCAATGCAAAAAGGGGCGTCGTCCCCCCCCCCCCCAAGCACAACATGTCAAAACCTCTCCAAGTTCTCCAGGCACCGTTTCTGCCGCAGTTTCCTACGCCTACCGCCAAGAGTATTTGGCCGATGATCCGCGCGATTTGAAAAGGCAAAAAGAAATCCGGTTTTCTTCCTGGCCCCTTTCATCTGCGATTCCCAGTCACGCAAATGCCCCCGTGTTATCGCCCTCTCCCGATCATAAACACAGGATCTTGGATTATATAATTAGGATGGAAATTAAGAGTTCCTACTGGCGTTCGTTTATTATCTCTCGCCCCGCGGCTCTCACCATCGCCACGCAAATTAGCGCGGCATCAAAGCGGGTCTTCCCACCACTCCGCCCTTCCAGGCACGCTTCGGAGCTGGCGGGTGAGAAGTCTGCGCCTCCCGGCGGATGTTGCTGGGACTCCACCTCCCATCAACCGCAGCCAGCATGGGATGATGGAAGTTGGAGTCCCAGCAACAGCTGAAGAGCCGCAGCGATTGATCGCAGAGCCAGCAGCTGCCCCGGATTAATTCGCAGGAAGAGGTTCTTCCTTCCAAAAATCCCCGCTGAGCTTTCTTTGCGCGTCGCTGCTTGTGGGGAAGACGCGCGTGGATATTGGCAGCGCCCAACCGCGCGGCTGCCTGGGCTCATTTGGGACAAAGAGCGGGATATAAATTTAAGAAATAATTAGCACACGCACCTGTGTGTGTGTGTGTGAGAGAGAGAGAGAGAGAGAGAGAGAAGATCCTATTTATATGTCCCAAATATAGAGGCTATTTGGAGTGGGCGCTTTTCTTTCAGCCCCAAGCGCGGGAACGGGTGGAATTGAAAGGCGCAGCGGGAGACGTTTCACGCCTTTCTTCAGCGTCACCCCTGGAAGCAAGGCGCCGATGGTTTGTGCCCTCGGCGACTCGCCTTACGACTCCGGCTCGGGAGAGTTCATATCTAGGGAGGAGGGGTGTGTGTGTGTGTGAAGAGGGAACCAGGTCACGCGACCTCTTGAATCAACGGAGAGCTGAAAACTTTTCGAGCTTGCCTGTCTCCTCCTCTCTTCCCTCAGAGAGAGAGAGAGACACGCCTCCCATTGGCCGCCGCCGAGGAGGGGCCCTCTGTCCCCGCCCCCAGAAGAGAAACTCCCACCAAGGGCACCTCTGCTTTTCCCACGGATTTGCCGGGGGGCTGCAACATCTGGCTGGCTGGTGCAGGTGAGAGGGAACGGCTAGCGCGAGTCCGCGCGCCACGGCGGGACCTGGGCTGGAGCCCGAAATAAATGCCCCCCTCCGCTGCAGCCCACCCCCCTCCCCGGCCCCTTCTGCCCCCGCCTCCCACTCCCGCGCCCCCTTCATGGCTTTGTCTGCCTGAGCCCCTGTGAGGAGGAGGCGGCGGTGGCGGCGCGCGGGGAGCATGGAGAGAGGCGCTCGCGGTCTGGCTCGCGCGGAGCCTCCCCTGGTGTGAAGGCACCCGAGAGGCGGAGGAGCCCGCCGGGAAGAGCACGGCAGCCGCCGGACCCTCGGAGACCCCGCGCACTTGCTGCAGGTAATTCGCGGCAGCGGCGGACGGGGAGGGACCTGAAACCCTTTCGGCGTCTTTCTTTCCTTAAAGGAGATGCCCGGCCGTCTTCGTAGGAGGGCGAAGGGGATTCGCAGCGATCCTTAGGATTCCCAGTTGACGGAAGGAGCAACTCTTTGTTCTTCGCCCGCCTCCCATATGTATATTTTAACATGCACTTGTCGGAGCTGGGGGGGTCTGTTGCAATAGATTTCAGTTGGATAGGAGGCAGAGTGATAAAATGGGGGAGGCAGCGTTCCCTAAAATGGGGCACCCTTGCCCAAAAAGGGCCACGGCACGTGAAGAGTCTCCCCGCTGCTCTGTGCAGCTGCTACACCCTCTTTTGTTTGGCTCTGAAATTCTTAAGCAACAATTCCTTACCAGCTTCAAGGCGCAAGAAATGGACGGGGAAAACGCTGGCATTCGTCCAAGGGTAGTTTTTTGTCTATTTTTAAAGGAACTTGGCATTTTCTATTTAAATGTTTGTGCTGGTTTACACACACAACACACAATCACACTTGCTTTGCCGAATATTTACAGGGATGAGAGGGACAGATGGAAACTATCAAGGGGAGTGTATTTTTCCCATGACAGAAATGAGAAGAAACACATGCCGTTTTTCCCTTAAATCAGGTTAGGGTTTCAGTCTGGATTGTTAATTGACCAGACAGATGGTTGTAAGAAGCATGCCATGCTCAGATGACCTGTTAATGAAGAATTTAAATAGCCCATGTGTAAAATTAACAAGGTCTTGGTCACATTACATAGAATTCAGGCCATCTGCTCCTTTACAGTAGTACATAAAAAGTGTAGAGGTTTTCCTAGTTTAAAAATTTCAGGAATGGAAGAACTGTTAGTTTGTGTCCATTTAAACTGCAGTAGATAAACTACACTTGAAAAGTGGGATCCCAAGTAAAACCGAAAATGAAAGCTCAGACAACAAATTCTGGCTAAATTGAAGTTCTCAGAAGTTGTGCATGAGAGGGTTGTGCATTTGGTACATATTCTTCAATGGACCTTTTTCTGTAGTATCAGCTTTCCTTTTGACTCCCACTACCAAATATAGCATTCAATAAGTGTGCTTTTATCATACAAGTTGCAATCTTGCACACAGTGTGTCTGCTTAAAGCTCATTGACGTCAGTGTTAATTGGCTGCAGATTGTGTTCAGGATTGCAACCAGGTATTTAGATATGGAACTATCCTGCTCAGTAAAACTGCATCTCAAAAGAAATTCCATATTTTGGGACTTGGTTCTGTAACTGGTGTTGTCTGATATCATACAAGTAAAGCACACGCCGAATTTCTATTTGCGTATAATGGACCGCATGAGAGAAACATTTCTCCCTTTTGAGTTTTTGAAAAGGGTCTACTAAGAAGAAGCTATATTCTTAGTAGATTGAAGTATGAATAGTTGAATGATTTGGCAATAGTGCTTCATCTTGTTTCTAAATGGGAACATTTTAGTGTCTACATCATGTTGCCAGTAACATTTCTTTTCTAGCAAAATACTTGTTAGAGTATAATTAAGAGGCAATTTGAGTAATTTAGTGCATGGATAACAATTAGTCTTTTGTCCTGAGCAGAAAGCAGTGTTCATGCAGAGAAAAGCTCAAGTGCAGATATATAGCAATTTGGAGAAGAAATCATATGTAATTTGTATTGTGTTGGCATAGGAACATATTTTACTTGTTGCTCTTTCATTGACATCAGTGTGATTCAGATGGAAGTGCACTGCAAGGAGAGCAAAAAACAAAACCGACCTGAAGTCACAGTCCATGTTCACCCTTCACAATAGAGGTGCTGGCTTATCATGGTTTATTGCAGGGGTCAGCAAACTTTTTCTGCAGGGGGCCGGTCCACTGTCCCTCAGACCTTGGGGGGGCGGACTATATTTTTTTGGGGGAAATCCCCTCCACTGACGCTCCCCTCCCTTCTCCACAGCACCGGACGAGCCCCAGTGGCTGCTTACCTGTGCCTTGCGAGTGGCAGGGGCTAGCGGTGGCAGCGGCGGAGGGACGATGAGCAGCACAAAAGGGCTGGCTCCAGAGAGGGGCTGCTTAAAATGGCACTCAGCCAACTGTGGCTCAACAAAGCCCAGCCCCCTTTGTCCTCTAGGCAGGGCGGGGTGAAGCCAGGAGGAGAGAGGGAGGAGGTGCCGCAGTGGTGTGTGTGAGGTGGGGGTGGGGGGGAATGGCGCAGCCCAAACAATCAGAATCCTCATGCCAATCCACACGGCGATTCCCTGACCATCCGCGGGCTGGATCCGGAAGGCAATTGGGCCAGATTTGGCCCCCGGGCCTTAGTTTGCCAACCCATGTTTTATTGGGTATGTGCAGCCTGATGGTGCACGCTGCCCAATCGCTTCCACCTCTCCCTGGCATCAGTGAGAGAAACAAACTAAACTTGACATCCAAACCCTGGTTCCTAGTTTGTTTTTCCCTAACAAGCCAGGTTCACTAGCCAGCCTTAAAACATGGTTTGTAGTTGGCTTACAAACAGTGGGTTGTTAGGGAGCAGCAAACCAAGACACTTAATTACCGTTGCTTGATTTGTTTCTTCCCACTTGTGCCAGGAAAGAAGTGGAGTAGGGGCCATCAGGTAGTCTGCCTCAGTATGCTGCTCATTCACAACAGACCATGGCAAGCCAGCAACCCTGGCATATGGTGACATGCAAATGTGGCCACTCCTTCCTTCACATGTGGAAAGTTTGGGTCAAATTAAGACTGCCTGTCCTCGTATGCAGACCTTGGACTTATTGAGTGGCCCTGAAATGAGCATGCAGCTTCAGGTCTTGAGGGAACATGAATATGCATAATGCTTCACACAAATAAAGCTTTTCATACCAGCAGTTCTTCTGTGAGACTTTTCTCTTTCATATACACCAGGGATGGGACGTCTGTGACTCTTCAGATGCTGTTGGACTCCAGATCCTGTCAGCCCAGCTAATGGTCAGGGATGGTGGGAAGACCACAGTTTCCCCATCCCTGATGTACACACGGACACCTTCCTCCTCAATATTTGCACATTTCCTCACACACTGCTGCTTAAACGCACTTTACCTTTGCCTCTTGTCTCTTTCTCTCTTATCCAAGCTCTCCTCATCGCTGCTAATGGAGAAGAGAGATCTGAAAGAAAGCCTTCATCAAGGACATACAAGGCTTCACAAATGTTTTCAGATGTATCTGGAAAACCTTGCGCCCTGTATTGTGTGAATAGTGTCTCACACTGGCAATACATTCAGAAGATTCTTGATTTGTGTGCATTAATGGGGGGAAAGTGTGCCATTATGAATAACCCCCCCTTTTTTTTGGCAGGATGGAGATTGAATTCCATGTCAGGGAAACATAGGAAGGAAGATTCCTTATACTGAATCATACCACTGATTAATCTAGTTTAGTATTGCCTGCACTGGCAGGAGGTCTAGGATTTCAGACACAAGTATTTTGTAGTTCCACCTGCAGTTGCTGGGAACTGAACATGGAAAACTTCTCCTTGCAATACATACATTCTACCAGCTAGCTATGCTCCTTGTGATGACAGTGTGGGAAGCAGTACTATATCCTGGCTGGTTTTCCTAGTGGCTGAAAAATTAGCCTAATTTGGCCGTGGTGCCTCGTTCTACTTTCTTACTGAATATTCTTAGCACAGACATACACAAGCCTAGTGCAGGAACCTTTGTTGTGATAACCTGAAAAGTCAGGCTGCATTCAGGTAGCAACCTTCTTACAGCACTGATTATGACTGCATTCACATGGCCCTTTATTCTGTGTTTCTGACATTTCCCTAACTGTTGATTTCTGCATTGTATTTGAGCCTTCACATGACATAAAAGCCACTTCCACAAATATAGGAGATTATAGTGCAAGCTATTTCCATGTTACTTGCTTCTAGAAAAAAACCCCGTCTGCAAATAACAATGAAATGAGCACTAAACTTGTGCTATGTACCACTAAATTTGTGGAAGTGGCCTTTATATAATGCAGAAATTGTTAGGAAAATGTTGGGGAAACTGGAATAAACTGCCATGTGAATGCTGACTATGTGACTTAGTGAATGGCACCCTATTTGGGTGGAAAAATTCAGGGAACTGATCAGGACATCCTTTGTTTAGACCAGTTGGAACAAACTGGCCTCCAGGTGTTAGACTGCATCTCCCATCATGATTCTTTGAAGGAAGGGGGGATTTAGCACTCAGGTAAAGAAAGATGTTTTGACTAAGTTTATAGAACTAATATTAAGTGGGCATTCCTCTGATGTTGGCACCATTGTCATGGTTTGTAGCATTGGCACAACATTATGGTTTATAATGTGTCTTTGGTGACGATGTGTCTTTGGATGTCCTTTGTCCTTAATGCAAGAGGGAAAATCATATTATCCAGATGATGATGATGCCATCAGTTGTGGAAGAGTCATTAACAACCCCTCACTATGTGCATGAACTTGATACATGCATTAGATGTATGCAAAGGAATAGGGCAGGTGAAACATTAATAGCACCCTTTAATTATGCTCGGTTTTATAACAGAATTAATTTAGCAAAGATAACATTACATGATATGAAGTGTGATAATTTTTCAATATGGTCCAGAACCTTCCCAATTAAAGTCTGTGGCATCTTTAAAGAAATTACTCTAATTAAAAATTATATGTGTAGGAAAATAGCAAACACCCCATAGATAAATGAAATTTGGCATAAATTGATGAGTTTGTAGAGAGGAATGCTGACCCTTGATGCTTGGTGAAGAATCTCAGTGTAAAAAAGTTGTACTTGAGTATATTCAATTTAAAGCCACTGTCTTGGCTGATGACAGCAGGGTTGAATGTGAGATGAAACCCTTTGTACAGTGGCATGGGATTAATTTCTCACTGTTACCAATGCCAAACGTATGTGTCACTGGACCCATCACAGCCCTTTCCTAACACATTCATACTGGCACAAAACCCCTTCGTTGTTAGCATAGTCTGTACTTACCAACTTTTTTACTGGCTGTGCTCCTGTGTCTTTGTCAACTTGTTGACTGGAGAAAATGAAAAGCTAAGTCTGCTTCATTTCTGCTTGTTGAATGGCTGCTAAAAGCACAAAGCAGTTTAAGCAGAAAAGGTAGCAATTCTACTCTTAATTTATGTACTTGAGGATATCAGGTTGGTTGGATGGCTATGCAAAAATATGTGTTTTCTGGCATTAACTCCAATCCTAAGCATTTATATGATAACACAAGAAGTCTAGGAGCAAGTCAATACGAATAATTTGAATAGGAATTAAGGGTGGCACATTTGATGGTTGCCAGGCCCAGCCCTATAGGCAGAGTGAGTGGGCACCTTAAATGGCAGGTGAGTGCAGAGCGGCAATGAGCAGGGGGAAAACAGAGTTGTATGTCTACACTTCCTAAAATAGCCTGCTGCTTTCAGGTGTCGTAGATGATGCTGTCCTGTTACCTGTACATAGAATAATAGAACCATAGAATTGTAACGTTGGAAGCGACCTCAAGGGCCATCTAGTCCAACCTCCTGCAATGCATTGAAGTAAGAATCAACAGTCAGTCCGGTTGATCTCTGTCCATGGAAAGGGTGAATTTTGTCCTTTGGCTCAGACAGCAAAATGTATTGGGTCAGCTCTGAATGTAGCTGCCACACAGCATCCACTTCCAGCCTGATTCAAACCAATTATACCCATTCGTGTGTCCACATCAGCGTGCTTTATGTAATTTAAATTGCTCCTGTTGTGGCTGTCTCTACAAGGGCTGTCCTGTGTGTGTACTGATTTGCCAAAGATCAGATGATTTCTTTGTGCAGGATCTTCCAAGTGGGGTAAAACAAATATTCGTTATTTTCTCATTTACTGGCGTGCAGTCATTTTATGTTGCAGCCATGCTTATGGTGAGCTAAGCTAAAGAAGGATTTCCCTTTCTCACTCAGCACTTCACTTTATAAAAGCAGCAATTATTGGCAACTATGTGAATGCAATGACTGTCACTCTTTAGGGAGCGGTTTAACTTTTCTTGTGTTTGATCTGATTGGAAAGAAATGTAGGAAGCGCACAGAACTTTATACGTTTGATGAGTAACAAGCTGGGGAATGGAGTTTGTTGGTTTTCTGCAGCCAGGGATCCTGCAAGGAAAACACACTTACGGATTTCTTCAGAGAAGTAAATATTTCAGGCCCCAGAGCAACTGGTATAGCCAGAATGTTCCTTGGCCACATGATGAGCAACTGAAAAGCAATCTTAGCCACTTACGCACAAGTGAAACTATAACATAGTATCCTTTTCCTTTCCCCCTAACATCTCAAAAATCCTACACACTGATCATCTTCAGGGCTTCACTATAAGAACCGTTCAAGATTTCAGTGAGACTCATGATCGTACAAAGGCTTTGGGAACCAGATGACTCATCCAGCACTCTCTAAATCAGTTATATTTTGTTGGTGGAGATTTAAAATGTACCGTATTTTTCGCTCTATAAGACGCACCAGACCACAAGACGCACCTAGTTTTTGGAGGAGGAAAACAAGAAAAAAAATATTCTGAATCTCAGAAGCCAGAACAGCAAGAGGGATCGCTGCGCAGTGAAAGCAGCAATCCCTCTTGCTGTTCTGGCTTCTGGGATAGCTGCGCAGCCTGCATTCGCTCCATAAGACGCACACACATTTCCCCTTACTTTTTAGAAGGAAAAAAGTGAGTCTTATAGAGCAAAAAATACGGTAATCTCCCAGCTCTCAGTCAAGCTATCCTCAATACCTACCATTCTGGTCCTTGTATTAACACTCTCTGCCCCTATACTGTTCATTCAATTTCTATTGGAAGTAAAAACAACAACAAACATATGTATCTGTCAATCCCAGGATGCGGTCTGAGGGCACCTTGCTTTAGCTATGGGGTTTCCCATTGCTACCACTTTCTTGGCCCTATTGCTATCTTGATGGTGGGACATCAAGCTGACATGACCTCCTCAATCAATTGGTTTAGTTTTCCAGTTACACTCACGTTTTTGAGGTACAGTGCTTTAACTGCCTCCTCCTTGGTTCAAAGCAGATTCCTTCCTTCCCTCCTTCCCTAATTTGAACAGGGGTGTATGTCAAGCATGTGGCACACCACAATACATGGTTAGTGGGATGTGCTTGGCTTTATGGGTCACAAGTTCCAGACCTACACTGCAGTACTTGGAAAGATCAGTTAAAAAAGGAACTTGTTCATCCTGTCCAAAAATAAACTAGTATTGGTCAAAGATCTTACTTTAAGAAAATGAGCTCTGGTTCCAGTGGCGGAGCATATGCCCACGCTGCCCAGGGCGGGTGCTCTCTCGAGGGGGGTGGGGCATGGAGGGTGCCTTCCCACGCACCACATTTCAGGGTAGGAGAGGAGCAGGGAAGCTGCTGCTCACTCTCCTCCTGCTCTCTGTAGCTGGGTCAGACATGACCTGGCAACAGAGCTGCTGCAGCCAGGTGCACCTCGCCACTGCTGAGGAGGGCTGCTGTCTGCCGCCGGGACAGAAGAGCTGCCGCCACTGGGCATGAGGTATGCCATTCACTCGCCTGCCATTTTGTCACCCCCCTCAGTCATGACACCCGGAGCGGTCTGCACCCACCGACCCCCCTTCCTATGCCTCTGTCTGGTTCATCACTTCAGGTTACAGACTCCGCTTACCCAGAAATAGTACCTCGGGTTAAGAACTTTGCTTCAGGATGAGAACAGAAATCGTGCGGCAGCGGCATGGTGGCAGCGGGAGGCCCCACTACCTAAAGTGGTACCTCAGGTTAAGAACAGTTTCAGGTTAAGAACGGACCTCCAGAATGAATTAAGTTCTTAACCGGAGGTACCACTGTAAACTCCTGCCAATTGCATGCCTTGGAGTATATATCCAACAATCCAGTCCAGAGATCATCAGTTCAGTTTATTAGAGGTGCGTCCTCAGTGGGGCACATTTTTGGCTTGATCTACTTGATTGGATCTTCACAGATCTCAGGGATCACAGTATTAGGAGGTTTTAACAGCAGCAGCAGCAGCAGCAGCAGCAGCAGCAGCAGCAGCAGCACTGTGCATTTAAGAGTGGTGTTAGTGGCATAAATTCAAATGCTGAGTCTGTCTTCAGCAATGTATCACCAGGGGCGGACTTTGGTAATATGGTGCCCTGGGTATCTGACCTCAGAATCCCAACTGTGTGTGTGTTCACTACTCTCCCTGTCCCTTTCTGACAACAAATCCCAAGCTCCCAAGTGAAAAGTTTTCAATAAATAACAAACAGGTATGCAAGTAGAAAGTCAGCATGGTTGTGGGGGTATCCAGTGTATTTTTGAGTATATCACATATATGGTTATCTGCCTGCAGAACAGAAGTCTTGGGTGTGTGCTTGGTGCAATTAATTCCTGAACCTCAGGAAGCAAGTTTGTTCCAACCAACGTATCCAACCTGGACAAGTTGGTGGTCAGAGAGGTAGGTGGGTGGGTGACACCTTCTGGAACATGTTAGAGGCAACAAACATCAGGGTGCTTCTGCTGTCACAGAGAATGAGTCCTGGGAGAGGAGGTCACCACTCTAAGGAAGAGAGAAATTATGGTACATTTTAGAAGGGACCCATCCCTCAAAGGATAAACAGATACCCTCTTGTGCCAAAGTTTCTCTTCTAGGGGACAGAGGTCCTAATAGTGATCATTTATCATTAGGGAAAAATACATCTGCATTTGTAGTAGGTGTGCAGTATTCAGTGATTTGTTTGCAAGGTGTGAAATTTGTAGATATTACCTGTTATCATGTGACAGACAGTGCTGAGGAGAAGTCAGTGGTCATGATATATTGGCAGCAATGATGTGGGCAAATGTGATTGTGTGACCTGGAAGCAAATTTAGGTTTCTAGGCAGGAGATTGAAAGCCAGGAGCTTCATCGTAGCTTTCTCTGAAATTCTACCCATCCGACCACCAGAGTTAGCTTTGCCGGTAGGTCTGAAGAGTCTCAATGCATGGGTAAGAAGGTGGTGCCAGGATTTGAATTTGTTAGGCACATTTTGTGACAAGCTAGACCTGTACAAAAGAGACAGGTTCCACTTGAACCGTAATAGAACCAGACTGTTTGCACTTAAAATGAACAAGGTAGCAGAACAGCTTTTTAACTGAGCACTGGGGGATAGCCAACAGAAGATGAAGAACATTGGGTTTAGGGTGAATCAACCCTAAGGGATAAGAATGTGTTGAACTAGGCATTGAAAGTGCAGCAGTAAATCATTTATTTTGCTTTTGCTTTATTATGTATTTTGAGTTTTAAAGGAGAGCACAGATGCAATGGGCATATCTGAAACATGATGGAGAGAACCAGCGGGTCATAGTTATTTCTGAACATAAACTCTTTGGAGAGGACAGGGAAGGGCATTCTAAGGGTGTTGTTCTGTACATCAAATAGGACATAGAATCCAACAAGCTAGAAAGCCCAGACAGTTCAGACTCTCAACAATATCAACATTGGTGGTGGTGCTATTCCCTAAGAGCAATTTAGTACTGGGGATATACTGTTAACTGCCTGACTAGGCCTGGGCGATGTATAGATACATTGCCCAGGGCTGGTTTGAGTGCCAGAGCATGATGGCGCCTTCACCTAGCAGTATATTGTGGGTGAACCTGCTGCCGCTCCTGCTGAGTGTGGTAGAACACAAGATGTACAGACCTGAGATAATAGTCTAATCTGTAGCGCTGTCAAGCAAAAACTCTTTGTGAGTATTCTTCATATACTTTCCTAAACAATGTTCCATTATATTGGCCTTGATTAGTACTATTAAGTATTATTGAAATGGCTGACTTTGCATTTTAGTCTGGAAAGCCACCCTAACCCATTCGGTTATAACTTGGAATTATTGTGTGGTGCAAACTTTTATTGACATTTCAAGCACAAGTTGCTCTGACCTTAATTCTATATCGATAGGAAATCAGATGACGTTACTGTTGTTTTGATCCATCAGACTTATCATAACATATGACATGGAGGCTCAGAACAAGTTGTTGTTCATGAGACAACATCAAGACTGTTACATTATTTCTCTGGACAGTTTGTAGACAAGACAAGACAAATCCGTTTATTGTGAGGACCATGCCTGTACACAAACATTAACACAACAATAGTTAAAAGATATTAAAATTCATTACATACTACGCCAACAAAACCTTCATCCCACAAAATAGAAAGAGAGGGAAAACGAGCAACGAGTTAAACAGACGATGAAGGGGTCTTTGCATTGTCATCCATAAATCTTTCCCTGGCTTTCATGGCCTTTATCACAAAAACCGCTACCACATGGGTAATACGTGGGTTCGCATCAACTAACAAAAATTTTACTCTATCTTCAGGATTGGTTATAGAGTTGGGTATAATTTGCAGCAATGCGTCTCTAAAGCTCGAGTAGATGGGGCAATAGAGGAGGTAATGTGTAAGATCCTCTTTAATTTTCATAAGGCAAGGGCATAAACGATGTTCTACTGGGGTTTTGTGAATCTACCGGTCAGATATGCAGTTGGCAGTGTTTGAAACCGTGCCATAGTGAAAGCTCTCCGAAGGGTGGGGTCAGTGATCTCCACCAAGTAGTTGGCACAGATTTTGACTGCTTTTACTCGGGGAAACCAGTAGGAAAACCCAGAGTTTTTATCTTTGTGGAGTCCAAAAGGCGTCTTTTCAAAGATCCATTCCCGAACTTTATCAGGGCTCCACAATTTAAGGGTATTAAACTCAGGTAGATTGTATCTGGATAGGATATCTAGTAGGTTTTTATGCCAAGTAGTATTATTTTGTAATAATACAAAGGCTTGTTTAGCCAGTAAGGTGTTCGGGGCATCTGTGAGGTTGGTGAAAAAACGCAGGAATCTTAAATGGGCCCTGGCAGACACAGAAGGTAATCCTACTTCCACTCTTAGGAGAGCTGCCGGAGTACTCTGAGGGAGGCCTAGAATTCTTCTGAGGTAAAAATTTTGGAAGATTTCAAGCCGTTCTAACAGCTTCTGATTCCATCCCCAGAGTTCTACTCCATATAGCATCTGGGGAATCACTTTTCCAACAAAAGCTTTTAATGCCGGGATCACCAGTTGCCCACCCTCGAATAAAAAAGCTGAGCAGGGCACCAATTGTCCTACGTGTTAGAAGGGCTACAGTCTTGAAGTGGGCAAGCCAGCTAGATGTTGCTTGGAAAGTGATACCAAGATATTTAAAAAAAAGACACTGTTCAATTTTGTGTTCATCTAAAGACCATCTAAATGTGTGGCGAGCTCTAGTAAATACCACAATTTTTGTTTTGTCATAATTTATCTTTAGAGAGTTTTGGGAACAATAAGCTGCGAGCCCCTCCAGCATGCTATGTAGGCCCCTTCGAGTAAGTGCCATGACAGCCATGTCATCAGCATATAGTAATATATTCAGGTGTTTGCCTTCCAGGGCAGGAGCTGATGACTTATACTTTGCCATATGTTGAACAATGTCATTTATATAGAAATTAAAGAGGAACGGCGCTAACAAACAGCCCTGTTTAACCCCTTTCCCCAGTGGCAGTGGATCAGTATAGTTGCCTGACATCCCAGTTCTGATTTTAACTGTGGTGTCTGAATGTAACTCTCTAAGTATTTTGAGAAGTCGTCTATCAATATCTGTTTCATATAATTTTTGCCATAATTTGTCCCTACAGAGACAGTTTGTACTATTCAGCTAATTGGTGCATGTTGTTGTCTCTGTAATGGGCTATAGAGAGAGAGCATATTACAGTGTTGATGTATTCTGAATTTAAATAAATCTTAAGCCCAATCTTTTAAGCCCAATGTGGGGCTTCAAATCCCAAGGGGTACCCTTAAGATTCATTCTGGGTTTATTTTTTTTTTTTTTAAAGCAATTTATTAGGTTTTACAATAGGAATAAATGTAATAAACAATATAGCATTCGTCTTAACATATTTTCACATTTTCTTAGGACTTCCTCACATCTCCCGCTCCCACCTTCATCATTATAACATTTTGTCAGCAATTTATCATCTTATTTAAATTCTTATATCTCTTCGATATTTCATAATCTTAAAGTTCTCATAAAGAGTTAAACTTTCACAATTTTTCTTGTTTCCTTAAAAATTTCTAAGTTAAGTGGTGCTCAGTTATTTAGTCCAGCATCTTATTCAGCATTCAATCAAATCACAATGTTTTTGTAGGTAGTTCTTAAATTTCTTCCAATCCTCCTCGATTCTCTCTTCTCCCAGGTCACGGATTCTGCCAGTCATTTCAGCCAGTTGCATATAGTCTATCAGTTGCATCTGCCATTCTTCCAGTGTGGGTAGATCTTGGGTTTTCCAGTGTTTTGCAAGTAGTATCCTTGCTGCTGTTGTTGCGTACATAAAAAATGTCTGGTCCTTCTTTGCCACCCCTTGGCTGACAATACCCAAAAGGAAAGCCTCTGGTTTCTTAGTGAAAGTATATTTAAATACCTTTTTCAATTCATTGTAAATCATTTCCCAGAACGCCTTCACTTTAGGGCATGTCCACCAGAGGTGAAAGAACGTTCCTTCACACTCTTTGCATTTCCAGCACTTGTTATCAGACAGGTGGTAAATTTTTGCGAGTTTGACTGGGGTCATATACCATCTATAAATCATTTTCATTACATTTTCTTTCAAAGCATTACATGCAGTAAATTTCAATCCATTACTCCACAACCTTTCCCAGTCCTCAAACATAATATTGTACCCAATGTCCTGTGCCCACCTTATCATAGCCGATTTAACCATTTCATCTTGTGTATTCCATTCCAACAGCAAGTTATACATCCTTGAAAGTATCTTAGTCTTTGGTTCTAACAATTCTGTTTCTAATTTCGATTTCTCCACCTGGAACCCTAGTTTCTTATCACTTTTAAAAACTTCTTTAATCTGAGCATAGTGTAACCAATCTCGCACTTTGTCTTTCATTTTCTCCAAGCTCTGCAATTTCCAATTGTCTCCATCTTTTCTAGTATTTCCCAATATTTTGGCCATTTGGCCTCCATATTGGGTCTTTTTCGGGCCTTAGCTTCCAAAGGTGAAAGCCACCTTGGTGTTTTATTTTCCAGCAAGTCTTTATATTTTGTCCAGACATTAAACAGTGATTTTCTAACAATATGGTTCTTAAAGGCCTTATTTGCTTTAACTTTGTCATACCATAAATATGCATGCCATCCAAAAACATTGTTAAACCCCTCCAAATCTAACACATCAGTGTCTTCAAGAAGTAGCCAGTCTTTTAGCCAGCAGAACGCTGCGGCTTCATAGTACAACTTTAAGTCCGGCAGGGCAAAGCCCCTCTTTGTTTTGCATCGGTTAGTATCTTAAACTTAATTCTGGGCTTTTTGCCCTGCCAGACAAACTTCGAAATATCTCTCTGCCACTTCTGAAAGCACCCCATTTTGTCCAATACCTGCAGTGTTTGAAATAAAAACAACATTCTTGGCAATACATTCATCTTAATCGCAGCAATTCGGCCTAACAAAGAAAGTTTCAATTTTGACCAACTGTCTAAGTCTCTCTTAATTTCTGTCCAACATTTTTCATAATTATCCTTAAATAGACTTAGATTTTTTGCTGTTATGTTTACCCCTAGGTATTTTACTTTTTAACCACATTAAGTTCCGTCTCATTCTGAAACCGTTCTGACTCTGTCTCAGTCAGATTTTTCCCCAAAACCTTAGTTTTCTGTTTGTTTAATTTAAATCCCGCCACCCGACCAAAGTCATTAATCAATTGTAATACTCTTTTCGTACTAGGCTCTGGCTTCTGCAAGGTCAAAACCAGGTCATCTGCAAAAGCTTTTAATTTATATTGTTTCTGACCAACCTGAATTCCTTCCACCAGCTGGTCCCTCTGATCATGTTCAATAGCACCTCCAGGACCGAGATAAATAACAAAGGGGAAATAGGGCAACCTTGTCGTGTCCCTTTTTCAATTTTGAACTCTTCTGTAACCACATTATTAACTATCAGTTTTGCTTTCTGTTCTGAATATATCGCCTCAATCCCATTCTCAAAACCCCGTCCCACTCCCATCTCTTTTAAATTTCCCATCATAAATTTCCAAGAAATGTTATCAAAGGCCTTCTCCGCATCTATAAAAATTAAAACAGCTTTTGTATTTATGTCAGTTTGGAGAAGTTCCAAAATATCAATAATGTTCCTTGTGTTAGCAAACAAATGTCTACCTGGGAGAAAACCGGCCTGGTCCTTATGAATTACTTCATTTAAAACTTTTTAAATCTACTTGCCAAAATATCTGCAAATATTTTGTAATCCACATTTAAAAGGGAGATGGGACGGTAGTTCTTCAGTTGTGTCTTTTCAGTTTCTAACTTTGGTATCAATGTGATAAACGCTTCCTTCCACGAATCCGGTGCCCTCTTCCCTCCATAATTTCATTGCTAACCTCCATCAAAGGTTGTATCAAATAGTCTTTTAGTGTCTTGTAATACTTGGAGGTCAGCCCGTCTGGCCCTGGAGATTTGCCAAGTTGCATGTTCTGAATAGCTTGTTCAATCTCCTGTCGTGTTATTTTAGAGTTCAGGATTGTCCTATTTTCTTGTGACAGTTTAGATAATCCATTTTTGCCAAAAATTGTTTAATCTCAACTTCGTCTTGCGGCCCTTGGGTATATAACTTATGAAATATCTCTGGAAACACTTTCTAATGTCCACTGGATTCTGAATGTTTCTTCCATCAACCTCTAAATTTGTAACCGTGTTTAATCTTTGTCTTCTCTTCAACTGCCAAGATAGCAGTTTTCCACATTTATTCGCCGACTCAAACGTTTTTTGTTTCATTAATTTGATCTTCCATTCAATTTCCTGATTTATCAATTTAGAATACTGTGTTTGATAAAGTTTAATTTCTCTCAGAGTTGGCTGTGACTTTGGATTCACTCTTAATTTCTTCTCCAAATCTTTTATTTTATCCAAAATCTTGTCTTTTTTCTCATTTTGTGTTTTTTTCTTTACTACATTCTGTTGTATCAGAAAACCCCTCATGACAGCTTTGCTTGCGTCCCAGACGATTCTTTTTTCCACCGAATTGTTCATATTTATCTCAAAATAATCTTTCAAAACTTTTTGGGCCTTCTTGGTAATTTCCTGATCTCTAAACAAATTGTCATTCATCTTCCATCTAAAGGATCCAGTTGGTAGTAGTGTCATGTCCATCTTTACTGCGTTGTGGTCAGAACAGGTCTTTGGGCAGATTTCCACTTTTCTAACCCTAGGTGCCAGGCCTCTAGAGATCCATATTTGGTCGATTCTTGTCCAGGTCAGTTGGGCTTCAGAAAAGAATGTTCCTTCTCTACCTAGTGGGTTTTTTGTTCTCCAAATGTCGATCAAGTCCATATTGTCAGTCATTTCAAAAAGGTTTTAGGTAGTCTGCCATCTTTTGTGATGTTTTGACTTTGCGACTTGTCCATGTTAGTTGACACGACCCCGTTCATGTCTCCCATCATTATGATGTTGTTGTAATCCAGATGATCCAGCATTGTCCCCTGCAACTTCTTGTAAAATTCCGATTTCCCTTCATTAGGCGCATAGATTCCTAATATCAGCAATTTCTCTCCTTGATATTGTATCTCAATAGCCAAAATCCTTCCATGTTCATCTTTAAATAGAAATTTAGGTGACAGGCTCTCTTTTGCATATATCACCACTCCTCTCTTCTTCACTTTATCCGACGAAATAAATTCCTGGCCCAATCTTTTATTTGTTAACACTTTTCTGTGGAGCCTCGTCACATGTGTTTCTTGTAAGCAAATAATGTCCAATTGTTCTTTTTTTAATATATGAAAAATTTTCTTCCTTTTCTCCGGGATATTGCAACCATTAATATTCCAGCTCAACAGTTGCAGAGACATCCTGGATCTATCTGGTTATTTCTCCTGGGGTGGTGTCTTCTCTTGATCTTCAAGTTCCCGAGGTGGAGGTATTGATGCTGGCTTTGCCTCAGGCCCGGAAGGTAGTTCAATTCCTTTATGTAGGTCCTCTCCGTGTGTAGCCAGAAATTTATCTCTCTCTTCCAATGTTCTAATTTTAACCTTTCTCGCTCTAAAGGTAAAAGACAATCCCTGGGGAAAATCCCACCTGAATGGAATTGCGTTGCTCCTTAATAGTTTAGCTAGTTCAGAATAGGCGGCTCTAAGATCCAACAGTTGTCTTGGGATATCTTTATATATCTCAATTCTTCTATCCAAAACTTCCAGTGACTTTTCGTAATGTAGGCCCAAAATCTTATCCCTTTCCTCCTTCGATCTCAATGTAATCAAACAATCCCTGGGCCTCTCCTTCTTTATAAATCTTCCAAGTCTGAAAGCTGACACAATTTTAAAGTCCTTTTCTTCCAAATTCCAGAACTTGGAAAGTACTTTGGTCAAAAACTCAGTTAGATTTCCTTCTTCTGCCTCTTGTAATGATCTAATCCTCAGATTATTCTCACGATTTCGCAGTTCTATCATAGAAAGATAAATCTGATGTTCCCCAACTTGTTTAGTGAGTGGTCTTACCTCTTGCTCTAAATTTTCCAATTTTTGTCTGGTGTCCTCAGCCAATTTTCGATTTTCTACTGAGGCCTCCGTCAACTGTCCAATTGCTTGTGTATTCTGTCCCACCTGTGTAGTTAATTTGTTTAGACACTCTGTATTTTTATCAATCTTTGCTGATTGCGCATCTACTTTCTTGTCCAAAGCTTCCAATTTTTCAAAGATTTTTTCTAGCACAGAAGCAGATGCTCCTGAGGCCATATCTTCCAATTGTAACTGCTCTACTTCACCCTCTCCCTCTTTTGCCTGTGGCAAGGCAGCTTCTTCAAGTTGTACTTCTGAGGGCAAAGTAGGCACAGATGATCTACGTGTCTGCGAGGCTGAGGTTAGATTTGTTAGAGTTGTTTGTCTAACTCTTCCTCTTCTTCTTGTACCACTCATTCCAATGTTATCTATCAGTCAAGGTCACACTGAGTTTTTCCCACAGGAATAGAGAGTCCCAGAGCAAGCAGACAACAAGAGAATCGAAAGTAAATGTTTTTATAAAGTCACTGTTTTAATCCAATCCTCTAGAGGGAGCTTAAAATGTCTTTTCAGAGTCTGATTTAATGTCCCAGAACCTTCCAATATAAGTATTAAGCAGAGTTTAAAGGTAATCACTTTGTTGCAGACAGTGCTTATTTGTCTCCAAAAGAATGTTTCAAATTTAAAATGTCTCAATGCCCTCAAATTGTTGCAACTTCCAGTATACAGTATCCAAGTCAAACACTGACAGCCCACTGTTACAATGCTCAAGCAGTCCTGACTCTGGGTTTCACCTTCCAATTTGTAATCCAATAAAAGGGGAAAGTCAAGTGCAAATAAAAGGTCCAAATCTTTAACTTGCTAATTTTACTTTAAATTGTAAGTTCCATAGATGCTTGGCTGTGTAGAGTTTAAAATCTCTTTCTTTCAGCCTCCACTCCTCCACCTTAGTTGCTTTTTTTTCCAAGTTCAATGGCAGCGGAAGACGGACTTCCTGTTTCCACGTCTCTCCGCTTTCAGCCAAATTCAAGTCAATTTAAACCTTCTCATTTAAAATTTGTAATTCCAAGTGATTCAGTCTTTACTCACGAGTAAGTTGTTTTCTTCCAGGTCCGAATTTTAACAGGAAAAGGGATCAGCGCTCACCGGCAGCAGCAGCGCGGCTTCACTCCGCTGACTGTGAAACGGCTCACAGCGCCGCAGCCCCTCCACGCTCCGGAGCCTCTTACGAGGCTCCTTCTGCAGTTGGAGGGCTGCTCTTAGCGCCCGCCGAGCCTCAGGACCCCAGGCTCTTGCTGCCTGGGGTTTTTCTCACTGGGTCTCCGCTTCGCCGTAGCGGACGACCCGGTTTCAGCGGAGCTTCTTCTCCGGTCGGGAGAAGACCGCCATTACCGTTCGCGCCGCCCCCGGAAGTCCCAAGATTCATTCTGGGTTTAAAGCAGGGATGCGAAACCTATAGCCCTTCAGATGTTGTTGGACTCCAGTTCCCAGCAGCCCCAGCAGGCAGTGTCAAGAGTCAGAAATGATGGAAGTTGTGCACCAGTAACTTTCTTTTGGTGTCAGGTGAGGAGTAATGGTTAGCTTGGTGTATGGTAGTCCATAAAATAATTTACATTTGAACATTTGCCATCACAGAGTGCTCTTTTGCAGATTATTCAAACCCCACTGAACGTGTAACCTTAGGAACTTCTCCAGACAATAACTGTATTGTTTTAGGCAAGCTGCATTTATTATATTATTGCATGCAAACCAGTCTCAAAGTAGCAAGGGACTCTAGGGATTCCAATGCTTACCCTGGGTTCAGTTTCCTCGGAAAGAAGTTCACTGGAGACTGTCATGTCTTTAGGATATATGTTTTTATTCACACATATAAACAACCTGAGCATTGGGTGTAAGGGCTTACAGCACTAACACTCCCAACACACCTTGCTTCCCCCATAGGTTTCCATGTTCCATATCTTTGGATCCAGCACAGAACAAGACAAACCTCTGTCTTCAGCTTCCTGCCCAGACAAAAAACTCACCCCCAGACTAGCCCCTAGATCAGGGGTCAGCAAACTTTTTCAACAGGGAGCTGGTCCACTGTCCCTCAAACCTTGTGAGGGGCCGGGCTATATTTTTTTGGGGGGGGAGGGGAAGTAACGAATTCCTATGCCCCACAAATAACCTAGAGATGCATTTTAAATAAAAGGACACATTCTACTCATGCTGATTCCTGGACTGTCCACGTGCCAGATTTAAAAGGCAATTGGGCCAGATCCAGCCCCCAGGCCTTAGTTTGCCTACCCATGCCCTAGATCTCCTGTCACCCAGGCAGCTGAGGTGGGAAGAGGTCCATTCCTCCTCCTCCTGTAGAAAACCAACACTTAGTTGTCCTTATGGCAACATAGCCCACTCTTTAAAATGCTGACGAGAGTACTTAAATGGCTGGCAACTTGACAAAGAAACTGGTTTGATCAGTTCAGCAGTTCCTTCTATTACCAGCCCCCTCCCCACGATCCCATAACAGTGCATTGCAATAGTTTGTTGGTGGTGAAATGCAGAGTGGGTAGATCATGTGCTTTACATTAGCTGGCATCAGGTTCAGTTGTTTCCCCCTCTTCTGTAGCTGCAGAATTGGTGCTTGTCTATTCTACTTGCACAATGAATGCAGCTTTCCTTTCTTCTCGCAGATTATTGTGCTGATTGTATATATATAAAATTTTTCTGCAAAGTTGATTACCCCCTTTCACATTATATTGACAGTGTGCTTCAAAACCATTAACGTGTATAGGATGCTTTTCAAACAAACACCAGGGGGAAATAACAGTGAGTAATTCTTACAGAAGAAGGCACTAACTGATCAGATCACCAAAGTGGGTATTTAATTAAATTTTAATCAGAGCTCTAAAAATGAGTGTCAGCGCTGATGAAGCTGTTTTAAATAACGTGTATTTCCCAGTGAAGCATTCCAGTTTCCCAACCAATAAATATTGTCTTCGTTGAATAATCCTGTACTAATATTTATTATATAGATTTATTTATTTATTGCAGACTAATTTTGCATATTCCAACTAAGCAACTTTGCTCAGTGCGATTAATTCCAAGTAGCAGTGTATAGGATTTGACCCAACTTTTTCTGAACTGTACTACTTATTCTCCAATACTAAGACAATGTAGATGGTGTGTGCCTGTCATATCATAGAATCATACGTTTGCAGAGTTGGAAGGGATCACAAGAGTCATCTAGTCCAACTCCTAACAATGCAGGACACTTTTGCCCAATGTGGGGCTCGAGCCCCATTGCCACCGTGAAGACTCACAGTTGCCGCCACTGCTGTCACTTCCTGCCACCACTGCAAGGCCTTGCAGGCCACTGCTACTGCTGCCACATCCTATCACTGCTGTGAGTCCTTGCAGGCCACTGCTGCTACTGTCATCACTAGAACCACTGTAAGTTCTTGCAGGTTGTCACCGCTATGGCCAACATGTACCGCGGTCATGGCAAGCTGTATCTGCCACTGTTGCTTCTGCCTGACAGTCAGGCAGCCCCAGGTTATTTGTATTCACTATGACTCATCACCGTACTTTGGATGTCCTGAATAACACCATTTGGTAACCAAGCCCAAAACCAAAAGTCCTGTTGGGATGCATTTTGGCTTGCCTGCTGCTGAGGTGGTTGATAACACCATCATTTAAAAGTTTTAGACCCTTAAGTAGTAGCAGTTGCTCGGACATTGTCCTGCTTGCCTCTGTGTAGTTCCTTCCTTATTTCAGGTATCACGATACGTTGATGATGTTTAACCGGTGATATATCGTGATATTGAAAATGGATTTTTGCCCAGCTCTACTTGCCGGATGTGAGAAACAGAAAGTAAAATGGAAGCAAGACCATGAATTAAGAATGGGAAATATCTCAGGAAAAAATATTTTTAAAGTCTCAGTAGGAAGCATTTAAACTTGGGAAGAGAATGACATATTATGATAACCATTGCCTTCATTATGCCATACATGAAAGTGCAAGGTGCATGCTGCCTGACTTTCTTTTAGGAACTGCTGGGGATTTCATTTCTTTTCACTCTGTCATGTTCAAACTGTGCAGAAGGTCCCTAAGTGGAGCACATCTCTCTTTCTGGCAGAACGTTAACAATGGTAATATTATCTTTAAATGCTTAAGGCAGAATAGCTGCAGTTTTTATGAGGCAGGATACTAGGTAGTCCTGTTCTTACCTTTTCCAGAAGTTTCAACAAGTTTTTTTTAAAAAATACGTTATTTTAGAGCTCTGTTTTTAAGTTGCTTTTTTAATAGTGTTATTTGACTTGTCTATACTTTAGAGTTGTGTACAGAGGTACCTGGGAACCCAGCATTTCAGCGCGGAAGCTTATAGCCTAAGGCTGGAGGCCCAAATGTTCCCTACTCAGTTACCTAGGGAATCGAAGGGAATGGGCAATTCTAGACACAATAATCTTAGATAAGTCTATGGGTAGCCAACACAATGCTGTCCGGAGATATTGAACTACAACTCCCATCATCCCTGGCTATTGGCCATGCTGTCTGGGGATGAGGGGAGGTGTTGTCTACATCATCTGATATGAACCATGCTGGCCACCCCCAAAGAGTAATAGAATCAGCCAAAGACAGATGGTGACCTTGGGCTTAAGCCTAACGTGGAGGTGTTGTTTAACTGCTTGGGAACAATGACCACAGTGCCACGAGATTTAATAGTAATGATGTTGCACAGAAAGTCCAGTGTGGTCAAATGAACTTTCTTTCTTTCTTTTTAAAAAAGTCTATATGATGAGAAGTGACATTGGTTAAAATACCTAGGCTTTTCAGAACAAGCTGAATATGCTCACTAGTTCCTTTGTAAAATAAAGACACACCTTTTAGAGGAGAGCAGACACCAACGAAACATTCCACCCGTTTCGTCTAGCGCATCTTTTCTGGCCAAGTTACAAGGTGATTGTCCTAGGAGCCCTGGTTGTCTACTCTTTAAGTTTTGTTAAAGTGATGGCTGTGTACGAGCTGAAGGTATAATAATTAAGATTAATGTGCCCTCCATGTAGAGATGTGGTGTGGGTATGTATGGAATGTTCTGTGGGTACATGTATTGTAGGCTCTATATCCATTTAGGTAAAGGTGATGCATAGGTAAAGGTAAAGGGACCCCTGACCATTAGGTCCAGTCATGACCGACTCTGGGGTTGCGGTGCTCATCTCGCTTTACTGGCCAAGGGAGCCGGTGTACAGCTTCCGGGTCATGTGGCCAGCATGACTAAGCCGCTTCTGGCGAACCACAGCAGTGCACGGAAACGCCGTTTACCTTCCCGCTGGAGCGGTACCTATTTATCTACTTGCACTCTGATGTGCTTTCGAACTGCTAGGTTGGCAGGAGCAGGGACTGAGCAACGGGAGCTCACCCCGTCGTGGGGATTCGAACCACTGACCTTCTGATTGGCAAGTCCTAGGCTCTGTGATTTAACCCACAGCGCCACCCGCATCCCCTAAAAGGTGATGCTTAGCATGTGACTATTGCTGTTTCTCATATACATTTCTCTCCTGGTCACAGCCACTTATTTTGCCTTTCCTTTGGAGCTATGCTAAGTTAGTGAGAGCAAGTACTGCTTGTACCTGTGTATGTGTATATCCGTGTGCTCCCATATCTCATTCCAGTAAGAGTTCATTATCTATTCCTGCAATATAAAAGGTCAATATAGCAGAAGCAAAGGAAATGAATGTTTAAAAATAGCATGTATTTAAGAATAAAACCACCTGAGCTTTCCCACCATAACATCTTGCAACAAACAAACTGATAGTTTTCACAGTGGAGGGAAGTAAGCAGTAATAGAGGTTGAAACACTTACACCGGACTTCCCACACCTGCTGCCCTCCAGATCTTCTGGACTACAACTCCCATCAGCCCTAGCCAGCACCAGTCCTCAAAGGCTGATCAAGTGCATGACAAAAGGCTAACATGTCTGAGGCTTATTGTGTTGGAGACTTGTTGAATTCACTGTCACAAGATAGGGTAATAATTCCTGGTGGAGATAACGTTGAAAGAGGATTTGACAAGCCCTTTGAGCCATGATTGCTAAGTGGAATCTCCATGTTCAGCAGAAGCAACCATACTTCATGCTCTACTTGGGGGCGGCGTTTATGAAGCATCACACTGGCTATTTTTGGAAACAGGATTTCAGAATTCAGGCCTGGGAGCTAAACATGGCCTCCCAGTCTGACCCTCAGGATTCTTCCCCAGGCTACAAACCCTCCGACAGAAAAGTCCTCTTTCCATAGGCCAAACTGCTCACTAGCCCTGCTATGCAGCTTCCTTGGGTGTGTTTTGCCTGGATCAACTACAGCATCGAATTCTGGTTATGCTTTATAATCCACATTTTCTCCTCTTTCCACTTTTGCCTTTGGCCCCATCCACCACTGGTTTGGTGATCCCTGGAAGGAAATGTGGCCCTCATGCTAAATAGTTTCCAGTCTGTTGAATTAAATGGATAATCCATCTGATTCAGTAGGACTTTTATTACACTCTAAACACTGGACTTTGGAAGCAGAATGTAGCCTCTGAACTGGCCAGTCATACACTAAACATCATGTCTAGTTTAGCCAGTTTTGCGGTGGGGAGGTGTGGTCACATGCATGTTGAATTAGAGAGAAATTTTGCATGTTACAGGCTGATTCTCTGTTCTTTGGAAGCACTTCCCATTAAACCCAGGCTAGTTGATTGTTCAGCTCTGGCAGAGGCTCTGGAAAAACACTGCTGTTAATTTTGGCTATTTTTCCAGGGTGACTAAAAGTTCTCTTTGTGTTTCTATTCAATACAAACCAGAGTGTGCCACAAGCAGAGAGCAGGTTCATTTCTGAAGGTGTCTGCAAAGCATCGGAGCAGAGATGTCAATTTCTCAGGCTTGCTGCTGTGTTTTCTAGTTTTGCAAAGAATAAATCCATTACATTGTAGCATTTTAACAAGCACGTTTGGGGTAAATAAATTTTGAATTCCAGAATATATCAAATACACAGCCAAAGTAAAACAATGAGAAACATCCATAAGTAGAGAAATGGTTTGGAAGCTTTTCTAAAAAACAAATCAAACATTCTCAGTGGTGGCACCCTGTCTGTTGAACTCTTCAAAGGGGACATATTTAAATGAAGGCTAAATACCTTGGGGGTGGGGGGTTGGTTCTGCAGATGTTAAACACTTCTCTTCTATTGCATTTTTACTGCAAAACTGTGTTTGAAATGTTGCTTTGTTTGTTTGTATGAGTTTGACCAAACTGTGGGAGGCAGTGGAAGACAGGCATGCCTGGCGTGCTCTGGTCCATGGGGTCACAAAGAGTTGGACATGACTAAACGACAAAACAACAACAAACATGGTGGTTTTAGAGTTTTATTATATTAAGCCAACCTTAAGTAAGGTTAATGAGAGAAAAGAGTTGTGGCATCTGGTGCCTGCCAAAAATGGAAGTAGTACAGTTCCCAGACACCTTGTCAAACCACTTCCATCTGGCCTCCCCTTGGCTCCACCAGGTAAGGGTGTTCCTAGTTGCTCCACCCCAACCCTACCTATAGGGAAGCCACACCTGCCAGTCATGACGACTCATTAGAAATAGAACTTTAGGTTGCATAGCAGATGCTGGGGGATCCTGGCATGTGTTAGGCCATGTTTTCAACAGCATGCTGTTCTTCTCCCCATCCCTAACCTCCTGGGGTTTTTGGTATTATTTACTTATTAAATTTATATACTGTCCTTCATCTGAAGATCACAGGGCAATTTAATTAGTCATGATTGATATACCATGTAGATATACATGTATACCATGTAGAACAATATTTCAAATTGCTTCACAGAAGTCTATAGCCTATAGATTTGTTTATTTAGTATGCTGCCTTTGGTAGGAGGTGGCTGTTTAATCTTTCAGACTGTCAAGGGTGCTTCCCAGCCCAGCGTCTAGGCAGCTATTCCCAGGTCTGTGCTCTGTGGAGCAGTTGCAGCAACTGGGGACTACCCCCTCCTCCACCAGTTTATGTACCTTCCCCTGATGGGCTGCACACATGTAGCCGGAGACTGCGCCTGCATGGAAGCTGCCTCTGCTCTTCCCACTTCAGTTCTCTCCTCTCTGGGAGACAGTGGTGCAGGAGAGGGTTGTGAAGCATCTTGCCCTTCACTTGCTTGACCTGCCTCCAGCTCTGAAGCTTCCCTGCCTCTGATTCTTGCCTCCTGTCTGGTACAGGTCCCCACCAACCACTGCCCCCCTCTTCCTAGTCAGGGTCCAGCCACCCCTTCCCTTGGTCACCTTGTCATTGTCCTACCAGTACCTTGCATAGACCTTAGAAAACACGTTAAGAAGTACAGTGGACGCTCGGGTTGCAAACGTGACCCATGCGGGAGGCACGTTCACTACCCGCAGCATTCACAACATGCAGCGCCGTGTCTGCGCATGCACAGGTCGCAATTCAGTGTTTCGGCGCATGCACGACCGCCGAAACCCGCAAGTAACCTGTTCCGGTACTTTCGGGTTTGGCGCGGTGCGCAACCCGAAAACGTGCAACCTGCAGTGTCTGTAACCTGAGGTATGACTGTACAGCTGTTTTTGTGTTACGGAATTTAAAGAAGAAAAGCAGGATGAAACACATTCAGAATAATAAAATACTTGGATGGAGTTTCAAGGGCGTACAAAAAAAAACATAGGAAAGGAAAATATGGCCACAGTTGCATAAAAGCCTTTAATTGCTGGTTCAGTTTCACAGACTCAGCTGACTAATGACATAACAAAAAATCTGGTTGCCGAAACTGGCCCGTTATTTATAACAAAACTACTAGGCTTCAGCAGCTGTATCTCCTTTCTCATCCCCTCCCCCTTTAATTTGACCAGAGTTTGTTAGAGCTCAGTCTGAGGCCACAAGCATGTTGAGTCATAATGGTCTGTGAGTATTATGTTAAGTGCCTTTTTATTCAAGAAATAACCACATGTTGCCTTTCATAGCCCTCAGTTAAACTCAATACACAAGCAGTTTCCAGGCTATTTTCTCTTAAGGCAGGTGCAGTAAAGCAAACAGCTAATTAGTGTTCACTTCACTTTAATTACTTTCTCCAGATAGCCTTGAGGCAAGGATAAGGTAGCCTGAAAGATATAGTCAGCCCTCCCAAATAAATCCCACATAAAAAACACAGACAAACTACTTACTTTAGCCATTATCTTAATTTCCTGAGTCTTGATCTATGAAGTAGAAGAAAATGACAACTAGCAGAGCTCTTTGCAGAACAGACAATTGACAAGAGTTCAAAAGGCACTGAATTTAATAATAATCATCATCATGTTTTAAAAGGATGGAGAACCTGGTAGCTTGAGAACAAGTTCTACTCACCAGTGATAGTCAGGTAATCTAGTTGGTTAGAGCATGATGCTGATAATGTCAAGGTTGCAGGTTCAGTCCCCATATGGGACAGCTACATATTCCTGCACTGCAGAGGGTTAGACTAGATGATCCTCAGGGTCCCTCCCAACTTTTCAATTCTATGATTCTAAAGATAACTCTCTGCTAATGACAAACAAGAACACACCTTCAAGCCCTACCTGTGGCATTCCAAAAGCATCTGCCTGTTAAGATGCAAAATGCTGAACTGACCGAATGAACTTTTGATTTGAGCAGAAGGAATCTTCTTGTGTTCCTTGCAGGAACACAAGACAGTCATCTGTTGGGATGTCCTAGCTCTGGATTTCCTGTTACCATGCAGGAATTGGTCTAAATAAAATTACAGTGTGCAGGCTGGTGTTGGATGTTTCACAGTTCTGCTGCCTGCGAGCAGGAGATCCAAGAAGTTGCATATTTAAAAAATGGATGTCTATTGTCTAGTCAGCAGCTATCCATCAATATGAGCTAGCCTACCTCCATTAATCCATTCCCCTCTCTACAGTCTATGCCACACTGTTGGTTGTGCAGTGCTGAGGAATCACAGGTAGATGTAGGCACAGAGTGAATTTGTTATTGTACCCCAGTAACCTCAATTGAGGCTTCAGCACCTAAAACCTTTGAGGCTAGGCACCTAAAAATTAAAATGTGCTCCATGCACGTGCAGTTTGAATCTGATTTAATTCAATGCTGGTTTTAAAATTTGCATTGTTGCTGTTCAACAAACTGCAGTCTGGAAGAAGGTGCCATTGACCGTCAGGAAGAAATTCTGGTTTGCTGCATTCTAAAAGACCAGTGTTAGTAACCACTGGTTTCACCAGCTTATTTATGAGGAAGCAATTAATGGGCATGGACAACAGCAGTGCTCTGATGGACAGTATATGTTCTGGGTGGGATGGAAAGCCCACCGAACAAATTAATGACTAGATTTGGTGGCTAGTTGTTCTGCACATCTTCCCAAGCAAAAATTGCCTGTCCATGTCCATAAGACTGCCTACAGCAAAATAGATGCTGTCCGATTTAATAAAGGGTTGTGCAAGACTGACGTTTCAGAGAAGCAAAACACAGAGGCCCTGATCCCGAAAAACAGTGGGTGACAGAGAAAGTATATTTTCTTTTCCTGTTTGCTTTTGCATGAATGTAAAGCACACCATTTCCTTAAAAGGTTGAGGAGCTGATTTGATGTTTCTTGCTCATTCCTGATATTTCTATAGGGCACTAGAGTTAATGGAATTATTCACATTCAAAGGAGCTTTTGAAATGCCAAAATATATTGGGGGGGGGGGGCTGTCATGTGCCATAGGATAGTATTCGTTTTACAGAGTATAGCATGCAGTGTAGGGCAATAGTAACAGAACTTTAATCACTGCATAACTATGATGCCCTTTATATGGGGCTACCCACAATGACACCTGGGTCATTTCTGTTAATACAGAGTACTGTGCCGCGCTTTCTAATGGAGTGGATTGCCAGAGTGTATTTCAACAGCAACAATCTATACTGGTTCCCTCTTGGTTTCAAAGCATGCTAGTGAGGACCTATAAAGTCCCATACCAGGGTGGCCCAACTTTTCTTACCAAGTGGGCAGCAAGAGTACTTTGACATGGAACCATCACACTGCTTTCCCAAAGCCAGGTAAGTGTGAGACTGGGCTTTAGGAAGGGGGTGAAAGGCTCTGGCAGGGTCCTAGAATCCTTACACCTTCTTCACAATGCTGGGAAAGTGCCAACTAGGCCTTGGAAAGGAGGTTGGAGGACTTTAGGACCTTGTCAGAGCCCTCATGCCTCCTTCCCAAAGCCTTGCTTACCCAGCTTTGGGAAGGGAGCACAAGGGCTGGTGGGATGGGGAGAGGGGCTGCCAAATGTTGCTGAGGGCCACCAAAAAATGGCCTCATGTGCGGGGCCACCAGGTGGTGCATTGGAAGATGGCCGACAATAACATCTCTCCGACCCATATGAGGTAATTAAGAGGCTGCTATGGGAAGTATGCAGTCTTTCCCCCCCCCCCAAGGATATGGGGGGGACTGCCTTGCCAGCGGTGGCCACAATGCACCCCCAGATTCGAAGAAGGGCTTGCGCCGGTCACTTGGCTAAGCCCTCGGTGTGGTTGGCTCTTCCCGAACTCCGTCTCCAATTCGCGCGTGCTGGCTTGCTTTAACACGAAAATATAATTGGAATATAATTGGAAATATATAATTGGAAGATGTTAAAGCACATACGTCAAGCAAAGGTCGGGAGATAAGACTGCTGATTAATGGATTTCTGGGATCGGAGCGGCGGGCGAAGACAAATAAATCAAGAGACAAAGCGCCATTAAGAGATGGGTATGTTTGGAGCTAAGAAGGTGGGGTGGAGGAAAAAACTTTTCTTTCTTTATATTATATTATATGAGCATAAATAACCCTCCACCCCAAAGAAAAAAGAACCGGCGTATTTTACGCCGTGTGGGATGAATTAATGATGAATGAAGAGAGGATTGGTAAAGATCGGAGAATGGAAAAATTTTATGACGCAGTTTTAAAATGGCGTCTCGCAAGACAGGCTTGTTTAAGAAAGATGGGGGGAGGAGAACCAGGACTATTTGAAAGTGAATGATGTTTGGAATTTGATCCTCTAGGAGATATTTTACAAGCCTGGGAAAACTAAAGGGCAGACCGAAGATAAATTTTCGAAGGAGGAGTGGAATGGCGGCTGTCCCTATGAAATATGACTTATGGAGTGCGTAAAACCCACGCAGACAATGTTTGTTCTTAACCTGCCTGTGAAGATTATCAGAGATCGCAAAGAAAGGAATATATGACAACAACAAGAATGAAGAAAGTAAAAAAGAGACTATCTGGATAGAACTGGATAGAACTGTTTAATTAAAGCAGTAATAGAAGTGATGTTTGGATTCTCGTCCGGAGCTTGATGTATGGGTACCCCCAACAAAATTGAAAAATTCGGCTGTATAATTTGGAATTAATGTGATTTGAAATAATGGGATATGATTGGCCTGTTAATAAAAATTATGTTTTTTAAAAAAATGGCCTCATGTTGGACCACTGTGTCCTATCAGTATTTCCCAGAATACTTGCACTCTTTTCTGTACAAATTCCAAGGTCATTCTGAAACACTTTTGTAAGTACAGTGGTACCTTGGTTGTTGAACTTAATCCGTTCTGGGAGTCTGTTTGATTCCCAGAACGGTTCAAAAACCAAGGTGCGGCTTCCGATTGGCTGCAGGAGCTTCCTGCACTCAATCAGAAGCTGCGTCGGATGTTCGGCTTCCAAAAAGCGTTTGCAGACTGGAACACTCACTTCTGGCTTTGCTGCGTTCAGGAGCCAAAACATCCAAGTACCAAGGCGTTCAACAACCAAGGTGCAACTGTACACAATTTACAGGTGTCAACTATTTTAGGTATGCCCAATTGACCCGTGATCACCAACACACGGGTCCTTTTGGACCTGGAAGATGGCAGAATGGCGGTGGAACGAGGGCAGGGCGTAATGGGGCAGGGCATGCTTATACGTGCTCTACCAACGCGAGTGGGGTCTGGGAATGGAACCCCTGCCCAAAATGGTCGCTGACTGTATGCACCAAGTTAGGACCACAAAGGTACCAAAGACACATTCTTCTTATACTTTTCCCCTCAGCTTATCTTTTGGAAATCCATGGCTTTGCATCTCAGTCTCAGTGGGCAGGGATAGGGAATAATAGAATGAACTTAGCATATTTTGCTCACCCTTTGGATGGCAGGAGGCCACAGCCCCAACCACATGAAAGAATGAACAAGAATAGTTTTGTGCTGATCACTGCTTTGAGGAGCTAGGCCATAAACAGCTTCGGGCCTCTGATTCTAAACAGCCATTGAAATGTGTCTCCCCTGCATACATGAAGGGAAAGGGCAGACTTAATTCTTGGTACAAGCGGATGTTAAAACAGTTCCTGCAAGCATGATAACAATTGTTCTTTGACAATTGTTGCAAAAAACCCCTTTGCAGCTGCACATATTATTAATGTCTTATCTTTTATTAAAAATCTTGATTATGCCAAATGCTTTACAAGAGAGTGTTTGGTTCCTTATTTGGTTTCTATTCTTTCCTCCATTACAACAGATGTTCAAACAGAATGGTTATGGCCTGTAACGAAGCAGCATATATCTTGTCAAATGCTTTGCAGATGCATTCAATTTGAATCCATTCTTGAATGCTACCACTTTGATGATGATAAATAACATTCAGAGGTTTGGGAAGTGGGGGTTAAGCTTCTATGTTAATGCTGTTTCCCCCCTCCCCCCAGCAGTCGATGTTTTGCTGAAAACCTGCCTTGACTTTTTAGAACTTATTGAAACTAATAAATGAGTTATGATGTTATGATGTCGTAATCACCAACACAAATAGAGCTGATTTATACATGGCAAGCATTAACCTTTGCCCAATGGAAAAACTCTATCAATCAGTTGACAGTTCGAAAGCATAAAATGTTCCATAACGGTTGAATAAAGGCCTGTAATTGCAATGACTATTAAAAGATTTATGTCATGTTAGTCTAGTTGTTTATCTGTTAAGAGTGTAGGACAAAGCTAGACTCTGTCTTGCTAATATATACCAGTAATATATACCAGTATAATTTGAGCTTTTAAGGAGTCGCTTTAAAGTTTTTCCTTGCAAGTAGATCTGTTCACTCTTTTCAGAGCTCTGTGTTGAAATGGATGTTTACATGTACAGTCCCTGTGCCATAATAACTTCACTATGGACCACAGACACAATATGCTATTAGTAGAAAGCAATGCACTGTGGCAGGTGCCTAAAGAAGCACTAGGGCTGGGTGACCCAAGCAAAGAAACAAGCCAACCCCAAAGGCTTCAGAGAAAGCCTAAACACAATCACCAGCTAAAATTGGCCAGAGTCAGATAACCCTTAAGTGATAATACACAACACCACTGGGTGCTTCAAGATTCATTAACGATACTCTTAATACATTTTCAAGAATAACCATCAAAGTGCAAAACACAGAAAATGTCCTGATATGCTTTGCTTTCATCCAAGCTGCCTTGCATTGACTAAGAGTGTTTTAGGCAAGACTTTCAGATTTAAATCACTGTGGGCCTCAAGTGACTTCTGGAGTTCATGAATTTAACTGTAGGTGAGTTTTGTGGTGCCCATTTCAGACATTACTACAGAAACAGAGAAAGAAGATGCACAGGTTGTTCATGCTACTACTTTTCCGGATTTTGAATTGTGAACTGGCTTGACTCAGATCAATCCAATGACTTTAAGAGTAGAGGAGTAACACAGAGATCGGTGCTGTATCTTTAAATTCCTTGATGCAAGTACAAGACAAAACAGCCACAGCTGCTGATTCTCTTGGTCCTTCCACCTACCTGCCATCATCCCACCTGCCATAATGGACAGATGACAGAGAAATGATGCAGAAGAGAGAAATCACCTATAGCGACTGCAGTTGAATCTTATTCACAACAATGCCCCCTTACCTCTCTTCTGCCCCAGCCCACCTTTCCCAGTGTGATGGTTGGCATGTTTATGCTGAAACTGCGAGGACAGTAAAATCCCAAAGACCACTGGGAGAAAAATGATGACTAATGTGACAGTAGGCATCAGCACAGAGGAGTTAAAGTATAATAAATGAGTGCAGGCTCTGCATATAACCAAGCCCTCACAGTATCCCTCCCAATGTGCCTACGTTTGGGTTTGGGGATCACAAGAGACGAGTTTGGGTTGGTTCAGACATAAGCTGACTCTTCCCAAATTTTGATGAAGTTTATCTCTGAGTCAACTTTACATGAGAGCAGAGATTGCCTGCTACTAAACGTGGTTTATAGGCATGTGTAACAGCCTGACAGCCCTATTTAAATAGAAAAGCTACATCTGGGCAGCATTAGGGGTCAAAAAGGCAAGAGTCTGTGCATGTGTTCTTAACTCTTTCCCCACTTTCCTTTTCCAGACATAGCATTTCAAAACAGAAGGTTCTTTGGGGAAGGCACAGTTTGGAAAAGGAAGACAGTGGCAGGGAAAGGGTTAAGCAAAGCACCCCATGCTGCTACTTGTCCAGTCTCCAATCCTCCCTCCAGAAGCAGACATGACTGTTTAAAAAGGGCCATCAGGGTACTACTAGCATGCATCTGCTGTGCATAATGTCTAATTTGGCCCATAGCATTTATTCTGAGCAGATCTTGGCAATATCTCTTCACAACTGTGAAATCAGCCAAACTAACAATTGCAAACATGACATTTATGTTAATGAAAATATTGCCTCAGAAAAGTGCCTTGAAAAGGGGGAAGTGACAGATTTGTGTTTTATAGTGTCTACTCGGAATTAAGCCCTGCTGAGTTGAGTGGGGCTTACTCTCAAGTAAGGAAGCCTAGGGCTGTATGCTTAGCCAGACACAAGACTTCTCTGGGCAGAAATCCTTTTCTTGTTGCATCTTTTACTTTTTGACATTTTAAGCTTAACCTCTGAGCTGATGGTTTGCAGGGCAAGAGATGTTTACTGTTAAAAAATGTTGTCTTAATCTCCCTTCCCAGAACAGGAACAAATTTAACTTGATTCATTATCTGTTTTATGACAGGATGCTAGAGCCAGCGGAAACTGTTACATGATGTGAGCAACTTAAAACAAAATGGAGTTTTTCAGCCCAGCACTCTGTGTTTTTACTCTCACTGAGCTGAATGGGCCTTACTCCCAAGTCAGTGTGCAGAGCACTGCATCCTTAGTCCTTAATACAGTACAGTCGTACCTCGGATGTCTAACAGAATCTGTTCCGGAAGTCCATTCGACTTCCAAAGCATGACTTCTGATTGGCTGTAGGAAGCTCCTTCAGCCAGTCAGAAGCCGCGGAAGCCCCGTTGGATGTTCAGCTCCCAAAAGAACGTTCGAAAACCGGAACACTCACTTCCGGTTTTTGATCGTTCTGGAGCCAGAACGTTCGACTCCTAAGTATGGGAGCCGAGCTATGACTGTACTGTGTGTCTCCATTTTCAAGGCTGATCTACAAGTCAGGGTTCCAACTCTGGCTGCCTTTGCTGAAGTGTAGCAAAAAGAGAAACCACAGGTCAATGGTGGAGGAAGGAGCAGGAAGCAAAGGGGCAAAGGAAAAAAAAAGTCCAAGTCATCGGGGAGTTTGAAATAGAGAAGTTCAATCTTTTGCTAGATTATCTCTTTCTTTCCTTCTACAGCAGAGGAAAGAGGAGATAGTATAACAAAAGACTGAACTTCTCTATTTCAAACTCCCTGATTAAGGGTATTAGAGGTCTGCAACATATTGAATATCATTCCCCCTCCTTTTGCTTCCTATTCTCCCCCCTGCTTGTGTTGAGAAGGCATTGGCTAAATCCCATTTTAGTCATGGCCTTGTTGAGTGCCCTTGAGTAGGTTGCTATCTGTCAGCCTTGGGCCTCCAGCTGCAAAATATGAATAACAGAGACCTTCTCAAAAGAATTCTTCAAAGGAACATTCAGACTATATGAAGTGAAGAACTATAACTCACCTTGAACCCTGGGAAGAAGTTGGTCTATATAGCTTTTAAAAATGAATGATTTGCAGTAATATTAGATAGGATATTATCACCAAACATAATACAAAAGATTTAATCATTTTATTTATAGTAGAATTCTGTCCTCGGGTTACTGTGGCCAGACAGCATGTCCTCCCATCATTCATCACCATTGGCCATGTTAGAAGAGGTTGATCGCAGCTGGAGCCCAACAGCTTAATGTAACTTATGGATCGGTGGAACCACGGATAAAGTTATAGGAACTAGATATTGGTGCATAGATTCTTTCCAAGGACTGGAATATACTTTGAGAATCACGACCCTTAAAATCTGTTTCCAGTTTTCTTAGGGAAAATTGCTTAACATTATTACACAGATGGTATTGCGCTCCTTCGCAAAGGTAATTTCCCCCCCCCCTTCTTTATCACCTAATTGTTGGAGGAGTTGCAATAAAGTTGGTACATATTATCATTTATGGCGGGAATGTCAGTTTGTGCAAGAATTTTGTAATTTAATTTTGACATACATGATAAATATTACTAAATAAATATAGTTTGTTGTCCTAAATTAATCTTACTGAATATTTTTAATGATATCCATGTAAATACATTGCCAAAAGAACTGGTCTTATATATGATCTTGGCAGCACAAATATTAATTGCAACTCAATGGAAAACAGCCCCAAATCTTGCAATGGACGCTTGGTACCGCTCACTCTAGAATATAGCTATAGTGGAGAAAACCATGCGTAATTTGAGATTTTGACAAGGACTGGAACCTCCAGACACCTTTTATATGATTTGGCATTCCTTTGTGGCATTTACATCTGAACCGTCATTTTCAAGACAAGCCTGTCAAATCTGGAACTATTGATGATCTGATAAAGTTGATAGCCTTTATTTGGACTTTGTTATTTTAATTCAGGTGCACCTACTCATTCTGCATGCCTATTTTATAGTTTTTGTTTTTCACCTTATAATTTTTTTGTCTGTTGTTATAATTGTTCTCTTTGTTTTATATACATTGTAAAATGAAATAACAAAAAGGACTTTACAAAAATTAAATAACTGGAGGGCATCATGTGGGTTATACTCTTGGCCTCCATGGTGCACTTATATTATAAGTAATCATGCAGAAATGGAACTCATACTGTATTAGGAGCCTAACTGCTGGGCCCGTGGCCAGCTCTAACCCTAAGCCAGCCACTCTACTACCAGCAGGTTTCAAGGCATTGAACCTGAGGCTAGCAGTCAGTTGATTCTGAACTGAACTGAACCTTCTCACAAGGCCGATTTACCTGAGGAGTCAAGTACCTCTGATTCCAACAGCATAGGGGCACATCAGGCAGGAGACCAGAGAAAGGAGGAAAATCCAGTTTGCCTGATTCGGCCTTAAAATGTAAAACAGATGTCAGTTTGCATGTAATCTAGTTAATGTACAACTGTGTTCCATTTTCCCAGAGTTTTCTTCTGGTCAGCTGTAGAGACAGGATATTGGCGTAACTGGTCAGATAGCTCAGTGCAATTTTCATGTAAAGAATTAAAGAAGTTCAGACTCAAGACTCGAGATTACTTAACCAGATTTCAGCTACATCTATCATCCCTTATCACTGGGCTTATCAGCTGGGCCTGATGGGAATTGTAGTCCAAGGTCTGGAGTGTCTTCTAGTGGTGGCAACTCCTTTCCTTTCTCTGTATTTTCTCTGGCCTGGACCAGACTTAGTTGAACTTGAAGAAGAGAAGAAGAGTTTTGGATTTGATACCCCACTTTATCACTACCCTAAGGAGTCTCAAAGCGGCTAACATTCTCTTTTCTCTTCCTCCCCCACAACAAACACTCTGTGAGGTAAGTGGGGCTGAGAGACTTCAAAGAAGTGTGACTGGCCGTAGGTCACCCAGCAGCTGCATGTGGAGGAGTGGAGACGCGAACCCGGTTCCCCAGATTACGAGTCTATCGCTCTTAACCACTACACCACACTGGCTTGGGTCCTGTTGAAGCCAGTAGGGCCAATTAATTAGGCTGCCACACTGAAAACAATGGGACATAAATGTAGCTGATTAACTTACAACAAAATCCTACAATGTATTCTCATAAAAGGCTGATTAAATTCAGTGGGGCTTACTCCCAAGTAAGTGTGTATAAGGTTTCAACCTTGGTGTGGATCTAACCCTCGGTTTTACTTTATCTGGAGTTTGCATGCAGCTGTCTCCATTAAGGTAGGACGTTTAGCAAGTATCATAGAATCACAGAGTCATAGAATTGTAGAGTTGGAAGGGACCATGAGGGTCATCTAGTCCAACCACCTGCAATGCAGGAATCTTTTGCCCAATGTGGACCTTGAACCCACAACCCTGAGATTAGGAGTCTCATGCTCTACCATTTTTCCTTTAGGCTTTTCCCCCTTGTCAAACACCTTGGACTTGCAGAGCTTTAAAAATCAATTCAGAAACGGGCGAGAAAATATTTAAGGAAAACAAACACAATACAGGAAATGGAAAGGGGGGGCACTGGAGAAGTGTGAGCACTGTATCTCTCTTGATTGTTCTATGCAGTGGAACTGTGGTGCATTATGCAGAAAAGAGCCATTTGTTTTTTTCAAACATCTGCAAGGGAAATTATCTAAGATGTAACTAAGCTGCAACTTAGTTTTTTTTAAAAAAAAGATTTGTTTAGGTTTCTTTTTAAAAAAACAAAAACTTCTTGACATTTAAACTCTGTGCATTAAAATCCTGTTTAAAAAAGAATGGATTAAAATGTGATTTCTCAAGACGGCACCTGTCATTCAACGAATCTTTTACAGAATGTTGTTTTTCATAAAAATTTACCTGATCTTATAGCTCACAGATAATGCTCTTAGCATTTAAAAACACTTGAGGAATGCAATGCTATATTGCAGGCAAGTTGAAAGAAGGTAATAAGAGAGATTCTTTGCTGTCTGTGAAAGACCCTTCTGGGCTTGAGGTTTTACAGTGTTGTGATTTGAGTGATATGATATATAGCAGAAACATCTGAGGCTCAACATAGAAGTGTGTTAGGAGTATGTAATCAAAGGTTAGAGGGATTTTGCTTGATTCTTAGTCTAATACTGCACAGTTCTCAATTTGGGGACTGAACCCTGGAATATTACTAATATTTGCCATTGGCTATATTTTTATCCCACCCTTCCTCCAAGGAAATCAGGGCAGTATATCATTGGACCCCTTCTCCATGCACAGAATGTGCCTTCTTTTTGCCCCACCAAATACTCAATAGCAAGCACCCACATATTTTAAATTAAGAGGCAAGTTTCCAGAGCACAGCTTCCTACCAGAACTTCTGGCACTTCTCTTTTTAGAAATTAATCCCTGGGCACAACAATTCTCTATGTGGAAGAGTGCTGGGAGGATGGGGGAAATCTCAGATATCCTGGACACCATCTTGGAAAGGGATGAGACATTTCTTCAAAAGCTATTGGAATATGTAACCCTTCTTGGGAGGTGTGGTCTCAGGCACAGGTATATATCCTATCTATGGAATGCTTTCAGGTGACAATCAAGGAGAAAAGGAATTGGTAATAATGGCTTGTGTCAAGGACACGGAAAGAATCTTCTCTTTCATCTTTCCTTGTAAACTAATAATAGCTTTTCTGCCAGGAAAGTGTGAACTGACAGGTTTTTATGCAACTTGCTTACATGTCCAAAATGAAGGTTACCCTGGGCAACAGATAAGAGAATCCAAGTTAGGCAGATGCAGAAAGCTGCTGGAGGGAGTCCATTCTTCAGTTCTATTTTCCTTATCTTGGGCAGCAGGCTTCTGCAGAGAAATCTAACTGTCAATTTGAATTTCAGTAGGTCCAGATGTGCATCAAGTCATCAAATGCTCTCAAATCCTCCCTTTAGGAAGCTGTGCATTTCATTTGTAGCCACAACACCACCTGCCAATTTTGAATTTTGAGGCTGTGCAAGAGGTCCCCTCACATATGTGGCATGCTGATAGCAACAAAAAATTGTGTGGCACTAAAAGGTGACATTATTGGGGCAATGACGATCATTTGAGGAATAAAGTTTTAAAAAGCAACAAAACTGCAAGTTATTTTGCACATACGTAATACCCTTGATGTAAGCATGACCAGTAAATGGATCTGTCAAAAGTACTATGGGTTTTTGGAAGGCCAACAATAATTTTCAAATCAGAATTTCAGGTTTCATTTTCAGAGTTGAATTGCAAAATAGTGCATAGCAATCCTTGCATAAGGTGCACTGATGTGTAGTTTTATTTTCTCTCAGTACTTGCAGTTGATTCCCTTGCTGTATCTTAAAGTCTGCTTATTCATAACTTAATAAAGTGGTGATTGCTTTCTAGATTCATGACTACTTTGTCTTTGCAGTTCAGGTATGTGGAATATATGTGCCATTTTTTAAAAGCCAGTCTGGTGTAGTGTTTAAGGTTGCCCCCCTAAGCTCACTTACCTGTAAGTCACATTGCATTCAACAGGACTTATAGTTGAATAAACATAGTTAGGATTGCATTGTAAGAGCATCAGTCTAGGACTGGGGAGGCCCCAATTCAAATCTTCACTCAGCTGTGAAACCCACTAGGTAACCTTGAACCAATCACCATCTCTCAATCTTTCCTATTTCATCCTCATCATGGTGAGGATGAAATTGGAGGTGAGGAACTATGTATGATGTATTGAGTTTATAGACAAGGTGGGATTTAAATCCAATAGATAATGCCAACTCTCTTCTTTCTACCTTCATGTTTCCCTTATGTATTTTGATTTTGGTGTCTTTGCAAACCTGAGTATCATGCAAAGAGCTAAGATTAGCTATGGCTCCCCCTGTCAGATGTAAACTCAGTGGCAATGTATTTCCTGTTGTACAATTAAGTGGTAGAAGCATTTGCTACACCAGTGGTGCAAAAATCAAGTTAAGAGAAAGAGGTTCTGAAAATAAAAGAGGAATGAAGGAATGGTCAGTGAACATGACAATGTACAGCTTTTAAATCCAGATCTTTGATCCAGGTATACAAATTTTTATGAGGAAACCACCACCACAGTAATGAGTTAATTAGCGGCAGATAATGGAATATGATGCAGGCTGCTGCACCTTCTTGCACAACCCTCAGTAGCAGACCATGTGATAGTACTCTACCAGATTATATCACCTGGATTTTTTGCTCCACCCTTATTTTTGCTCCTCTTCCTCCTGTGGAAGGGCTGTGATTCAGTGGCAGAACATCTGCTTTGCATGCAGAAGTTTCCTGGCTTAGTCCCTGACATATCCAGGCAGGACTGGGAGAAACCCCTTCCTAAAACTCTGGAGGCCATGTCTTAACTTCAGCCATTAGTTTAAAAAGGTAAAGGGCCCCTGGATGGTTAAGTCCAGTCAAAGGTGACTATGGGGTTGCAGTGCTCACCTTGCTTCAGGCTGAGGGAACCAGCGTTTGTCCACAGACAGCTTTCTGGGTCATGTGGCCAGCATGACTAAACCACTTCTGGCGCAACGGAACACTGTGATGAAAGCCAGAGTGCACGGAAATGCCGTTTACCTTCCCACCACAGTGGTACCTATTAATCCGCTTGCACTGGTGTGCTTTCAAACTGCTAGGTTGGCAACCATTAAAACCTTCTTGTCTAGCCACCGAAACACTGCACCTGTCTCTTAGGCCTTGTTGAATGTGGATTAGAATACAGGCAACCACATAAACATCTCCAACTGTTTGTGTATTTCTGTAACTCTGTAATTCCTGGTGGAATTGCTGCTTTCCTTACCTTTACAAATGTGCTGTTGAAATGAAATGGCAAGAGGCAAATCCAGGGGGTGGCATCAAATAGCAGACAAATGGAGAGATGCTGGACAGTTCCCAAAGAATGTTCTTTGGTCGACCACCCAGTTCTGTTTGTTCTGTCACAGTAATATTGCTATCTTCATTACTACTGTGTTAGTAAGAAAGATAATGATGCACAAAAAATTGTCTTCTGGAACTGCCACTCTGGCTTAGAAAGAGCTATTATTATTGCCCTTTATGTCATTGTATTGTGCTGTCATTTTCTTTGCCTCTCTGCTCCTCCTCTGCTCATTTGCTGCGAGTATAGTTTTGAGATTTGAAGTGCATTCCCATTTTTAGAGTAAGATTAAAGGATTTCTCTAATAGTAATTGCACTCTTGGCAAAAAAAGGCAAATGCATCTTCAGTTAACAGTTTTCCTAACCTTTCTTTTTCAAGCACTCCTTACATTAGTAGGAGAAATGTCCCCCTGCCCTTATTAATCTAATTATCCTATAAATATATTGTGGATAAAAGAAGATTTTTAGATTAATTTCTAAACAATTTTTGTTGGGGGCTTTGGAAGGCAAAAACATACCCAAAGCAGATTGGGATGTGAAAATCAGGGTTGAAAACCCAAAGATTATTTCCCAAAATAGAAAGAAGTGTCACAGTTTAAAGAGCTTAGGACAGTCCACAGCAGAGCTTGTGCCTCTTATGAAATGGATTTCCTATTTGTTTTTGTCTCTGTTCCATTTACAGAAACGGCTAGATAGTAAAAAGTGGCATTCTACAGACTACGAGACATAATTGCAGCTACAGATGGGGCTGAAGACAAATGTTACTTGAAAGGACAGTCTTTTAATAGTTGCTGTGTGGGGGCAGGTGCATCAGTAGTGAGGGAAGAGAGTGTTACAAGGTAGTAGGGGAATGACAACATTTTTTTAAAGGCTTTTAAAGAGAGAACATGCTACATAACTTAATTTGCTTGAGTCCTAGGAACCTGAAGAATTGTCCCTTGCATGCGAATCTTCCTGTGTTTTAACATACACATCAGAGACCCCTCTCTGTGTTGCCATCAAGTGGAAGGTAATCAGGGAAATTGTCTTTTCAGTGGTGGCACCCTGGTTATAGAATGCCCTCTTGATGATTGCTCAGTTAGTCCAATTAGCTTTTATACAAGGCCAATATTTATTTGCTTGACTTTCATTTTTTTTTTTAATTAATATTTATTAAGTTTTCAAAGAATAACAACCAAAGAATGACCAAAATGGCGACGAAGGTAGCGGCTTAGTTAACTTCGTCTGCCTTTAGATTAAGTTTTAAGTAGTTTTAAGTAGTTATTTTAACCCCCCTCTGGGTTTTTATTGTTTTATTGTTTTTAGACTAAGCCTCAAGTAGTTCTAAGTAGTTTTTTTAACCCCTCCGGGCTTTTATTGCTTTATTGTTTTATTACCGGCTTCGTGCTTCAGCCTTGCTGCCTTGCCGCACCCCCCGCTGTGCATTTAGTGCTGTGGAGCCGAGTAATCTTCTGAAACGAGTGAGTGGGGAAGGGAAGAGGTCTGGCTGACTCCCCTGCCGTGAAGGGACTCCCCGTCATTGGAAGGAAAAAACTCAAGGTGGGTGATCGGAAACACCGAAAAAAAGGTTGAAGCAAGCCCTCATTGAGTCTCGTCGGAGTCCCGTCTGTGTGAGTAAGACCATCTTCAGCAAAATCAGGCTGATAAAGAGGCTCGGCTTGGAAAATAATTACCATCCTTCACCTTATATTAATTAACCCCCAGCTTCTATCAGCTTTCATCAGTAAAAAGGACACTGGGAGCTGACGGAAGAGCTCTCAAACCTTCCTCCCCTCTTCCCTCTTCCAGCTCCACCAAAGAAACATACTGAGAACCAGCGCTCGCTGATGAGCTAAGCAGGAGAAAGCTGCAGATTCATCCCTACTCATCCATTGGCCCTGCTAATTAGGCAGAAACACTGGGGGACAACTGGTTTTCTAATAGGAAGACAACTATCCAACATGGTCCTCACTAGAAAGTTATGTAAGGAGTTGGGTATCTTGCCAGATACGCCACTTAGCCCCCCGGGACCTGGAAAGAGACAAAGTAAAATTATAAATTACTTCCCCAAGAGGGAGGAATGCATGAGTGAACAAATTGAACCAATTATTGACGAAGTCACTCCTCTCCCCCTTACTTATCTTGACCGGTCACACTACTTCAAAGAGCTTCAACACAACTCTGGAAACACAAATTCCCCAAGAAGCCTGGCGCAAGAGCTAGTTCTAGCTGAGAAACTTGTGGAAAATATTTCTGTCACCTATAACCAGCGGCCCCTGGCAGAATTAACAACATGCCACCAAGACCAGGCGCCCACTTCCAAATATACTCAAACTGAACTGAGTGATGGCCATCTTCAGGCCCATTTCCAAGATATAAATATAGACCTTTCCAACATAAAAATTACTTGACAATAACAAATGGGTTATTGCTGACCCTTGTGGAAAATTTTATTCCCCAACCAAAAGAGACAACAGCAACCGATGCACCCCAAGTGCATAAACCAGATGAACTTGTGCATAACCCAGATGAACTAGTGAAGATGAGACAAGCAGTAACAACCAAGAAATTGCAAAAAATAGATCAAAAGTCCGGGAAAAGAAAACTAAGAACATTAAAACAACAAGGAAAATAAAGATAAGCCGACATAAACAATGGCAGAAATTATTTAATCTACTCCCATTGGACTCAAATAAATCTGCTGCACGAGATAAAAAGAGAATGGCAGGAAGGGGAAAAAGAAGCAATCGCCAAAGCTAATGGCTAAGGCGGCATCTCTGAACCAGAGTTTAGAACTAAGTGGGAGGACGGAAGCAACGTCCCAGAGTTCTGGTAACAGTTCACTCAGTGAGCCAGATTCTGGGGGAGAAGTGGTCCCTAACAATGAAGGCAGCAAACCGCTTAGCAAATCGGGAAACGGGGACGATGCAATGCCCAATCGCGATGACAACACTATACAAGATGGGCAAACCTTTACTCAGGCAAGATGTTGGAACCTGATTTTAAATCCCTCAATATTAGTATTTACAAACTTCCCAAAATCAAAGGGTTTCCTTACAGGGAAAGAACGAAGAATGAGCTCCTTGAACGTTCTGAATGATATATTGCCAGGAGCAGTAAAGCCATATGACATTATTTCTGTAGATTATTTGCATCATGATGGTTGTTCAATGAGAGCAATGATCACATTTAGAGACCAGAACCTGGCCAAGTTTATCTACAGATCAAGATATATATTCTTAAAGGCCCAGATAAAAATTCTCAGATTTTTTGAAAACAAGGCACCACCGAATCCCCTTCTGGAAGCCAAGCACGCAAACCCTAGTAAGGAGAAACAACCTCCCAAAACCCGGCCTGGTCTCCAGAAACGAGAGCTTCAAAAATTAAAAAGGAAAGATGCCCACCTGCAAGACCTGCAACTTCAAGAGAATGAAGATGAGGATCTTTTTCCGCGGAAGAAAATACCTTAATTAGGCAATTTTGCCATTTTCCATCTCCAATACAAGCTGAAATATTAGAAAGATTGGATATGCTAAGAACTAAGCTGGCTGGGAGAGATATAAACAAGGAAATCAATATGGACGCCCATAAAAAGGACCAGACTTCCTATAATTTGAACCCTACACAAGAACAAAACCCAGCGGCCTGTCGGCCATGTTACCTTCAGACAATGGCTGAGATTAATTTACCCCCAATTAAGGAAGCCCAGCACACTGAAGAGAACACTACACCACCTCCAATAAGGAGAACCATCCCGAAGGTGAACTCACCAGGCTCTTGGGACAAGCTGAGGTATCTAGATGAGGCGGAATTAGGCCACAATCAGGTTCCGGAAAAACACCTACGGAAAGAGATAACACACTTCAAAGGCCCGGTGACCACTAATGTCAGTATTCAACAGTCAACAGCCGAAACTATAGAACATTTGGCTAGGTTGCCATGTATGGAGAGCAATGGGCCGGCTCATAAAAAAGTAATCCCTAAAAGCACCTTGGGAAATAATTGACAAAGATCAGACCAGAGACAAACACCAGCCGGCTCCCTATCTCCGCGGAAATCCGACATCACTAGATATGAACAGACTCAACCCTCACTCACAAATCAAGCAAAAGCAGTTGTTTCCTTGAAAGACGCACCCAACCCACCCCAGAGCCTTAAAATTGTCTCCTGGAATGTTAACGGCTGGGCGACAAAGCAAATGGATCCTGAAGCAATGAATTTCATCTCTTCTTTCGACATTGTATGCCTCCAAGAGACCTGGTCCCAACAAAGTATTGTTCTCCCAAATTATTGCTCCTTTAGCTCCTGTGCTCAGTAAACTAACCAACAGGGGTCGCCCCCAAGTTGGCCTCGCCTGTCTTATTTCAACCAGCTTATCCCTCACTATTTGCGAGGAAATTAAATCTTCCCCTTACTTTCTCACCATAAAGATTCATCTCCCAAAGACCAAAAGCCCATGGTTGATAACTACAGTATATCTGCCCCCAGCAATTAATGATTTCGACCGCAATGAAAGGTGGTCTGAACTTTCGTCTTGGCTCCATGATCTTCAAACAACTAACCCAGGACTCCCTCAAATCCTCTTAGGCGACTTTAATGCAAGAATAGGTCCCAACGACGATGATATAATATCTCCCGCAGCACTCCTGGACAATCCCCTGCAGCCCCCCTGGGGAAACAGATGCTCTCTTGATCCTATAACAAATGCGTCGGGAGGCTGATGGCCCAACTGGCCATGGAAAACGATCTCTGCATCGCAAATGGTAACATTACTCCCTTGTCCTCGCAGCAATTAACGTGCATCACTTCCCGGGAACCAGTGTTGTCGACTACATTTTATTGACGCCGGAGCTATTCTCAATTTCTACAAAAATGGAAGTGGCTGAATATTTTGGTGGTGACCACCTTCCATTGACTCTAATGTTAAACCTAATAGAGCCACTTCCAGTCCCCTCAAACTATAGAACCATGGTACAAAGCCACCCTGTATACAAAACAAAGAAATGGACAAGCCTCAGCTCCTCTCTTGCCCTGGACATACAAAAATCATTTGATATGTCTGCAGTTCCCTCTGATCCAATCCTGCCCGCTGACCAATACCGGAAATTACTTGATGCTTTCTCAACAACTTACATAACCACCACCTCGCCTACTTACCAACGCCTCTTCTCTAAATCGCCCTGGTTTGACAAGGAATGTAAAGCCCTAAGAAGGCGAATTAGGAAAATGGTCAGAATCATCAAATCTTCCAACGACCCCCAAACCCGTGCAAAGCTCATAGATATTAAAAGGACATATAGAAACATGATTCATTGCAAGAAACAACAGCACATCCTTGAGGCTTGGTCCACTCTTCGTTCGGCTGTAGAGAGGCATGACTCCCGCTCCTTCTGGCGCCTAGTTAGACCTTCGGCACCATTCAATCCAGCTACCCAGATTTCCGCTGATGAATGGATTGCCTATTATTCAACTAGTTTCGCTTCTCCAAACCATCTTACAGATCTCCTTCAATCCCCGTCGGACCTCAGTTCCTGCTCTCTTAGTCCCACTTCTTCAATAAACTTTACCTCAACTCGCATTTTCAACATCATAATGTCAATGCAAAGGAATAAGGCCCCGGCCCAGACATGGTCCCGTTGGACCTTTTCCTGACTGATCCTCTTTGGTGGAGCGAACACCTGACTCCTGTATTCACCGCTATCTCCTCCGCCCTAGACATCCCTGACTCCTGGAGAGAAGCTATAATAGTTCCGATCTTCAAAGGCGGCCAGCCAAACATCCCTAGGAACTATCGCCCCATCAGCTTATTATCCATCCCGGGGAAATATTTGCCGCTGTTTTACTGGAGGAACTTCTCTCATGGGTCCAGGAGAGGAACATTCTACCGCTAGAACAGATTGGTTTCCGAAAGTCAGCGTCAACCATGGACCATTGTCTAACTCTCTATCACCTTGCCAGTAAATACACTGCTCCAAGGCAAGGCCACCTATTTGCCGCTTTCATGGACCTGGAGGCCGCCTTTGATTCCATTCCTAGGCAGAGATTATGGTCCAAACTTGCCCATCTGGGAATTGATCCGCACCTCCTCTCCCTAATTATCTCCCTTTATTCAAACACCACAGCTCGCGTCCGAACTGGTCCTAACGGCTCCCCACTACTCCATTTCCAACGGCCAAGGGCGTCCGACAAGGTTGTCTCTTGGCCCCTTTACTGTTTAATCTCTATCTTCATGATGCAATTTCCACTTTGAAGCTAGCATCTAAGTATCCTCCTCACTTAGCAGGCCACCCCGTTGCTTCCCTTTTCTATGCTGATGATGCCGTCATCTTATCCAGAACAGTTGCGGACCTAGCAAATGCAGTTAATGCATTTATCGCCTATTGTAAGGCGGAAGCTCTTAATATTAATTATAAAAATCGAAAGTCCTCCACTTCACTCGTTCCCGCAAACTCAAGTTGGAGCCGCTTAAGATCACAGGTGGCTACTTAGAAAAGGTAAAAGCCTTTAAATATCTAGGATTAATATTCACCTATAATCTCTCCTGGACCACCCATCTACAATCTGCCTTTCTCGCTGCAACCACGACCTCTAACGCCATTGTCCGATTTTACCACCAGAAGGGCGGCAAACACCTTCCAGCAGCAATTCAAATATTTAATGCCAAAGTCGTCCCTAAATTATTATATGGATGCGAAGTATGGACTACAGCAATATCAGGTAACCTGGATCGCCCACTTCATATGTTTCTGAGATCTCTTTCCGGCGTCCCGAGATGTGTCTCAGGTGCAGCCCTACGACTCGAGTTCGCCCAGCCTTCAATTGTTAGACGAGCATGGAGTCGAGCCATTTCCTACACCTCCCACCTATTAGCATCGGATGCTCGAATTAGAGGTGGCTTTTCCAATCTGATCCTAAGAGATATTCATAATTCCCCTTGGAAAACTACAATTAACCTCAAATTCCGCTCTCTTCTCAATTTGAATTGTAAAACTGTTCTTAACTTAGAGTGTATCAGCCCGGTGGCCCTACCCCTAATTAAAAAGAAACTACAGCAACTTGACTTCTCCAACACAGCTTCTTGTGCAAGAGGACCGTGTTCAGGCCTAGCCCTAGCTATTCCACCCCCTGAAGGGATCCCTCTATACTGCTTCACAATTTCTTCGGAGACTAAGCGAAGGGCCTTTACCTGTGCCCGTCTCAACTGTTTCCCTACAGCAGTTCTGTCGGGTCGTTATTCCAGAGTTCCCATCGCAAACAGAACATGCTCCTGTAATGACACGGCCCTGGAGACTATGGAACATGTAATGCTCTTCTGTCCCAACTGGACAGATGAAAGATCTCGGTTTTTAACTCCCTCGTGAATAAGTTCCATCTCCCAATCCAGCCTTGGATAGTGTCCCTCTTTTTGCAGGATTCTGATTGTTGGATTACCGAGATGACAGCTAACTTCCTGCTTAGTGTGATGAAGAGGAAAGCGGCACTAACTTCTTCCTTAACACCACAGCTGCAGTCGATACGCCGCACAACCGAACGAAGTTCCAAGTAGCCTTATTGTACATGGACAATCGAGTTAGGACTAATCTGAGGAGCTGAAGGACCCTTCAACGGTCCTCCTCCAGCCTCAGCAGTTTTTGTTTTTTGTTTTTTTCACTTTTTTTTAAGTATTCGCCCAGGACGATATCTACCTCTACCTCCCCACCCCCATTTTATGTTGTTATTTCAATGTATATCATGCTATGGCCACTCGGCTAATGCAATAAATCTATGTTGTTGAAAAAACAAAAATTTCCAAAAAAATTGAAAATACAAAAAGCAAAAACGATAAAGAAATAAAAAAGAAAAAAACCAACCATAAAGAAAAAAAGAAAAAAAGAAAAACAAAAGTATAAAATCATTTACGATCTCTATTAACTTCCTTTCTAGACTTCCTCCTCCTCCCTCTCTTGTTTCTTAATTTTTAATTTTTACAGCAAATCCTTTCTGTTTTTTCATAACATTCTATCATTACATTTCCTTATTCTATTTTCCCTCTTGTCATATAAAAACTTTAAAACTCAAAGCTTATATTCAGTATTTACCAAATTCTTACATCATTACCTTTTTGCAAATCATTTACCAATCCTTACTTAAGCCATATAGTTTCATTCAACATCTTTCAAACATTTATGAACGTTCCCAATATTGAAAAATAGAAAAATAAAATAAGATAATAAGTCAGACACAATCCAGTCAACTTCCAGCGCCCTCCCCTGGACCCGGGATTGTCAGTCCTTTTAACCTCAATAGTCCGGCTCCTTAACCTGGTTGTCTCGTGTCCGAGGCCCTCAAATCTCTTTCTTGCCCCTTTCGCAGCTCTTCTTGATGTTTCCCTTTCAGTCGTGGGTACTCCAGCAGAAAGATACTTTTGACCCTTTGCAACAAGTCCATCCCATGCCCATTGTCCAAGCCAGACAGCAGATAATACCACTTCAAGTTTCCTTGAAACTTGGAGGCTCCGACTACTCCAATCCTCTGATGGCCCATCACCAGACTCGGAAAGTCCAGATAACCATATAAAGGGGGGTCAATCCATCCCCCATTTCCAAATCTAACCACATTTCATCTTTCCGAATCTGATTTATCCCAAGTTCATTTATCAAGTTCAAAGGCTGATCCTGCCGGTCCAAAGGTCCCTCCATCTCTGAAGCCTCCATCACTACAGCAGGTTCATATACTTGTAGATATTTTAACTGAGTTCCATTTACTTGCTGCTGTGCTCTGGTAACTTCCGTCATCAAGGTCGTCTCCTGACGCATCTGGTCCAGCTGGGCACTTAGTTTTGAAAAACCTTCCAGGAACATTTGTTCAAGCCTTTGTACAAGCATTGTCCTTCAGGGTCAAAGAAAATTCTTTCCCACGATTATAGTCCTTCACTTTTAAGCTCTCTGCGTTGCAGTTTCACTAAATCCCACTAGAGGGAAAACCTTTTTTTTCCTTTTTTTTTATAACGGAGAATATCATCAGCAACAGTCTTTATTTTCAAGTTACACTTTATCCAAAGTTCGCCCTTCTATTTTCAAGAGGGAACAGTGGAGTCACAATGTTACCTTTCTTTTAACTATCTGTCGAGCTGGACAAGCTTCAAGACGTCAGTTCTGACAGCCCGCTCCTGGTTCAGGGCGGTGGAAAATTACTTTGTTTTAAACTCACTTCCGCAGGGTTATAAAGTCCAAAACAACCCCCTTCTTCTCCTGCAGTCAAAGGGGGGGTTCAGAAATCTTAGGTGTTGAATTCTAGTTCTCTCAGAATTTAATTTTCAAGCTTTAGTATATTTTGTCTTTGCTTTCTTCACGTAACAAAAGAACGGAAGGTTGACTTCCTGCTTAGACCTTCTCATTCCAAGTCCCAATTAAATTCAATTTCAAGTCCAATTTATTTATTTATTCACCAGTCTTAAAAGTAATTCAGCTCTTCCAAGATCAGGTACTCACGGATAGATGTTTTAGATGCCAAATTGTCCCAGGAAAAAGGCAGCGCTCTCCGGAAACGGCAGTGCGGCTTTGCTGCACGTAAGAAGCAGTCGACTCACAGCACCACGCACCTCCACTCCGGAGCCCGTTACCGGGCTCCTGTACAAGGGAGAGAGCGCTCACGGTGCCCGCTGAGTCCCACGTCCACAGGCTTCATCCGCCTGTGGGTTTTAAGGGTCCCCGCTGCGCCGTAGCGGTAGGACCCAAGCTTCCGTGCAGCGGGTTCCCTTCAACTTGAAGGGAATTCCGCCATTTTCCGGAGGCGCCACCCCGGAAGTCCTATTTGCTTGACTTTCAGATGCAAAGAGACAAAGAATGATTCCCTCCCCAGCAAGTACAGTGGACCCTCTGGATACGTAACTTTCGGGTTACGAACGCGGCAAACCCGGAAGTGTATACTTCCGGGTTTCGCCGTGTGTGCACAGAAGCAGCACCTCTGCCTACAGACTTTACAGGTTTTGGACGGACCCCCGGAACGAATTTAATTTACCGTATTTTTCGCTCTATAGGACACACTTTTTCCCCTTCAAAAATGAAGGGGAAATGTGTGTGCGTCCTATGGAGCGAAGACGCCATAGCCCCGCGACCCTCTCCCGGCTGGAGAAGTGACGTGCGACTATGGCAGGAGCCTCTACAGCCGCGCGTCACCTCTTCAGCTGGGAGAGCGTGTGCGGGGCTAAAGAAGCACCCCACGACCCTCTCCCGGCTGGAGAGGTGACGCGCGGCTATGGCAAGAGCCTCAATAGCCACGCGTCACCTCTCCAGCCGGGAGAGCGCGCGGAGCTAAGAAGCACCCCGCAACCCTCTCCCAGCTGGAGAGGTGACGCGCGGCCATGGCAGGAGCCTCTACAGCCGCGCGTCACCTCTCCCGCCGGGAGAGCGCGCGTGGGGCTAAAGAAGCACCCCGCAACCCGCTCCCGGCTGGAGAGGTGACGCGCAGCTATGGCAGGAGCCTTTATAGCCGCGCATCACCTCCCCAGCCGGGAGAGCGCTCGCGGGGCTAAAGAAGCCATAGCCCCGCGACCCTCTCCCGGCTGGAGAGGTGACGCGCAGCTATGGCAGGAGCCTCTCCGCTGCGCCTTTCCGCTGCTCCCTGACCTGTTCTTTGGGGCTGGTGGTAGGCTTCCCCCCGCCAGCCCCAAAGAGCAGGTCGAAAGGAACCTGAAGCCTGGAGAGCGAGAGGGGTCAATGCACACCAACCCCTCTCGCTCTCCAGGCTTCCAAGGTAGCCACCTGAACGCACCTTAAACGGCACCTTGTATTAGAGCGGGATAACAAGAGGGGGAATGTTCTCCCCCTCTCTGCGCAGCGCCTCCTGCCGCTTCGCTGAAGGGGCACTGGGCAGAGAGGGGGAGAATTTTTTTTTTCTTGTTCTCCCCCCTCTAAAACAAAGTGTGTCCTATTGTCCGGTGCGTCCTATGGTGCGAAAAATACGGTATATCCAGAAGGTCCACTGTACTTGCAAAAATCCTTCAGTTTTCGAAAGCACTCAGTGAGGGTGGGGGGATAGGAAGATGTCATTCCTGAGCTGAAGAGGGGAATGTTCATGCATCACTATGTTCCCCGATTCTCTTGCAGAGATCATAGTCCCAAGAGAGCAGTCAGAATACTTACATCTTATTACAAAAGCTCTGGCTATCTAGACACCTTTCAAAAAGTTGTGGCATCTCCAAAACTGCTAGTTTTACGGGCAACTCCAGATGCACTTAACAGGTGTCAGCTTCTCCAAATTTCTCTAAACTGTAACTGTATCATAACAGGAGTAGAGAACTTCTTGCATTAAGGCAAAATTGGCCCAGCATGGGTACCAGTTTGGCTCAGGAAGCCATTCCCCATGAACCACTTCCTCAAAAGATGACACTTTGACGTCAGGTGAGGGACAGGTGGAGGCGTGGCTTCCAATGCACAGTCCAGGGCCTTAAAGTGCTATCCTGGTTGTGCTTTAGCAAAGGAGGCTTGGTGTCACTGCCAATCCCATGAGTCAACATTAAAAACCACCAACTCACAACAAGGGGGGTCAGAAATTGTTTCCATGTATGCTTAACATAAGCGATGCGGGTGGCACTGTGGGTTAAACCACAGAGCCTAGGACTTGCCAATCAGAAGGTCGTGGTTCAAATCCCCGCAATGGGGTGAGCTCCCGTTGCTCGGTCCCTGCTCCTGCCCACCTAGCAGTTCGAAAGCACGTCAAAGGGCAAGTAGATAAATAGGTACTGCTCCGGCGGGAAGGTAAACGGCGTTTCCGTGTGCTGCTCTGGTTCGCCAGAAGCGGCTTTGTCATGCTGGCCACATGACCCGGAAGCTGTCTGCAGACAAACGCCAGCTCCCTCGAGCTATAGAGTGAGATGAGCGCACAACCCCAGAGTCGATCACGACTGGACTTAATGGTCAGGGGTACCTTTACCTTTACCTTATGCTTAACATCACTTTCTCTCCCCACCCCACCAACTATCCCTTTCCCATCTTCTTTGCAATTGGGAAGGTTGAAAAGATCAGGAAGGGAAAAGGAACAATAAAACTGTAAAAAAAGAAGTTTAAAATATCAGTATTGATTTTTAAAGTGGTCATTCCTCCCCACCCACCATGAATGTTATGTTGTGCAACACTTTGCAGTCCTCTGGTGGAAAAGCACCCTAAAAATATTAATACAAATAAATACAAAGACAGGGAGGAATACTTAATTCATAAGTATATGAAGTCAGAAGCATTAGACAGCCCAGCTTGTGATCCTAGAGGTTGCTTAGCATCCAATTCTCTTTGTGACAGAAGAAAGAAGTAAAATAATATTGAAAGGGAAATTGGTACTAAAGAAGCCTTTCTAGGTCATGATTCTTTTTACTCTACATGAAAATAAAAAATGCAGGTTTGGTTCCTGAGCTCCATGAACAAACAGAAATGCTTAAGAGGGGCAAAAAGAAGGCGGAGGCAGGAAAGTCCCTTTCTGTCACTGCCTTTCATTGCTAGAACTCAGGTTCCAGGCCATTGTTTCCTTTCCACCTGCGCTTGTCCTTGTCTGCTTTTCTCCTGGTTGATTGTGAAGAGCCACTTGAGGGAAAGTGGTGTGTGAAGTACCTTTAAAGTGTTTACAATTGCTATCTAAAGGGCCTGATCCTGATCCTTAGCATTTCTGTAATAAATTATCTAGCAATGTAGGCTGGTTCACTTCACAGAAGCACCTTGGGGTGGTGATACCAGGCTTCACTTAGGGTGGCTGAGTGCCCTACTTTACAAAGGACAGTCCTCCATTTGAAGAGCTGTCCGGTTCAAGACCAGTTTTAAGACAAAGAAACATCAGAAAGAGGATCAGCAATACCTATCAGCAATACCTGAACAGCAATAGTGAGATAATTATGCTTTGTTTAAATTATAATAATGCTTTCTAAATGTTTACCTACACATATGCAGATCTTATGCAAACCCCTTTCTTTCTCTCTCTATTTGGTGATATGTGTAAGTGGCTACTCTATCTCCACTCATTCTGGGACACTATGGGAACTTCACACTTAATGAGGTTTTATAAAATTGCAGAGGGCTGAAAAGAGGCTGATGGAATCTTGCAAATCGTTGGGGCTGCAAATACATCCTCCCCATGGAGGTTACCCACTGGTGGTCCCAGTATGTTCCCCAAATGCTTGCATGGCCATTGCTCCTTCCACAAGTGTCAGCAGGGCCCATGGAATCATACCAGAGCTGGTGGCAATTCTCCTCCAGAGTCCTAAAAGCAGTATGGTCGCTTTAGGAGCTGTAATTCTGGGAAAAGCTTACCTACATAGTTTGATGCTTTATATCATATCGTAGGCCTTAGCAAAACCGAACATGCTATGTATAGTTTTCTCTGCTGCATCTAAAGCAGCTTGATCAAATACCATGGCAGATTGGACGCATGATGTGTTTAATTTGCAGCATGCTTCAATGACCAGGCTATGTATGAAGATCCCCACAAACCAAGTAGACTAAGAACTGACTCGCCATATATGTGACACTGAGTATTTGCCACAGTACATGCATAAACTACAAAGGGGATATTTCCAAACACACTGTGCGTTATTTGCACAGAACCCTCAGTACACATGGCATTTTAGAGTAATAAAAACGAAGGGTAGGTTCCTACCTCAAGGAACTTACAAACGAATTTTAGCTGGGAAAGGGGTTGCAGAAGACGACAACAGTGGAAGGGGAGGAGAGAATAAGAGATGAATTTCAGCAAATGCAGTTACATGTATTGGGGCTTTGTTTCAGATAGGCATGAGGATTAATGCTGGACTTAGACAGTACAAGAGATGGGGACCTCCAGCAGAACAGTATCTCCTTATTCTCTTCTGTTTGGTAGCATAGTTAAGTGTTACCCCAAAAGTGTGGCATGACAACATTGTGTTCTTAGTGCTCTTGCCCCTGCTCTACTTCATTGGCGGCTGCTTGTGTGAGGCATGGAAAACTCAGCTTGGTGATAGTTCATTATAAGATTTGTGTTACTAAACCTTACTGTGGGAGAGAAGAGGCAACAGACTTCTGTTTTCAGTGGGCAGCTGTATATTGCCTGCAGCATCTCATTCTGACCTAAGGATTTAAGTCAAAGTACCAGGAAGTTGCATCCCTGCTGTGGTTCATGTCCACTACATTCTCCTGAAAGTTGATAGACACTTGGCATTGTATTTTGTTATTGTATCCAACACTAGTTAAAGCACTGGTGTGCCATGGAGTCACAGGAAGTGTGAATGGGTTCTAACAAATGTAGTGCTAGGTGCATTTTTGCTCTATTTTAAGCCCCTCAGTAAATATTCAACAGATACACCAAGTTTTAATTCTGTGCCCCTGCTGTGAGGCTGGCCAGAAGCAGTGCGCTTGTTCTTGTGCTACTGCTGTCATGGCAACATGCTCTACCACCACTCCTACTGAGAGGTTTGTAGGCTCAGCATTGGTGCTTTCCTGTTGCTAAGCATCTGCAATGCTTGCTCCAGGCAGGATTCACTGTTCCTTAAGAGTAAGTACAGAGCAGCAACATGTTATTTACCTCACGGAAACCAGTCCCTGTTACAAACACAAATACACTGCTGCTCTGTACATACATACATACATACATACATGTATGAAAGAGAGAAAGCACAATATGTTCCGTACTGTTGTTTGGCAGTAGGTACCTATAAGTTATACAAAAGTTGTTTCCACAAAGAATATTCCTTTGCTTGAGAATCTGAAACAAGCAGAGTAGAGATCCTCTCCCCTGACACTCACTTTTCTTCCCCTCTTCCTACTTTGCAAACTGGGTTTCTTCCATTTTAATTTTTCAGTGATTTCAGTATGAATAATGGGAGCATAATTTCCTTGAATCTATTATGTCAACCCCACCTCATCTATCCTAAGGTTTATATCTAAATCTCTGCTGTTCTGGGTGCTGAATTTGGTTATAGCGCAGGACAAAAGGCTACTTTCCATGCTAAACAGGTTTCCCAACATAAAGATAGGAACCCCGAGTGACCAAGTTCCCAGCTCTGTGTTGGAGCACCTATGTATGAGTAAGGCAGCACTCTTCAGACTAATATAAATTATCTGTTTATTATTAATTAAAGTTGTATACAGCTCTTCATCTGAAGATCCCAGGGCACAGTTCACGACAGAATAATACAAAATGAGAAAACAAAATCCATTAAAAAGCAAAAAAACAAAAACAAATAACACCTCTTCCTGCAAACACGTTTTAAAAGCCACAGACTGTTAATCAGCGGAATGGCTGTTTGAAGAGAATTTTTTTTGCCTGGCACCTGAAGATATGTAATGAAGGCTCTCCCTGGGGAGAGCATTCAACTAATGGGGAGCCACTGCAGAAAAGGCTTGTTCTCATGTTGCTACCCTCCAGAACTCTTGTGGAGGAGGCTTGCCTTCACTGCCACTAGGAAGTCTAAATGATGAGCCTCACCAGTGTTCGACTTCATTCAACCAGAGTCGTCCCCGTCCCCCTCCCCCACTCACATTCAAGCCGTCTCCTAGTTTGTTTCCCTGCCCTAAGCTCTGTAGTACAGCAGGGAGCCAAGCGGGCTACATAAAGTGTAGTGTAATACAGTATACGTTTTCAAACAAAATAACTAATAACTGACTACCACCACCCTGCACAGACACCTTTTCCAGCTAAAGTAAGTTTATTGTGATCCAGCAAAGTCAATCTTCATGCTAAATATACATTATGGGATGGAACCACGTTGGGAGAAGCAGTGGCCCACATCAAGCATTTGGTGCGAGTTCCTGGTGAACGGATTGTTCTGTTGGCTCTGACTCCATTGGTCATATGTTTGGGGATGCAATTACTGAATATTTTTTTTTAAAAAAACTTTATTGAAATTCAAGAATAACATAAATAATACACACACTCTTAATTCGATAAAAAAGAAAGTGTCCATGTACAAATATTCTTCTATGAATTTACAAAAATTAAGCTTAGGTTAAATTTGTACAGTCTCCTTTTTCCTGTCTTTTTACTAACGTAAAGTAGGCTTCCTATCATTACCCAATGTAAAGTTCCTTTCTAGTGTTGAATGTACTTCATTGTAACCTTATTCTTTCTGTATTTTCTAATACATTCTTACAACAGTTTGTACCCTTTACCTTATTTCTACACTGTCACTTTAAAAAGGGTCATTCGAATGCTGCCATAGTTATTATACTACTATTATATTTTTGTAAGTAACTCTTATACAGTGATTACTGAATCTAGGTGTCCCCCCCCCCACACGTTTGTTGAGCTGACAGTTCCAACCATCTGTTACGCACAAGAGATCCTTATAGAGAGTAGTGGGTGAGGAATGTGCGTCTGAATCTCTAGAGCAGGGTGTGTGGTTGCTGCAGCCTGGTAAACAATTGGTAGCGTGTTACCTTCACAGTTCTGTAGAAATTGGTGTCAAGATACAAATTTGTTTCAGTTGCTGATTTCTCTTAACCAGATATCTTACTTCTGACGAAGTATTTCTATAGTCTGTATAACTCCTGTTGCCTGTTTTACTATATTGCAACACCATTTATTGTTTTACAACTGGGATTTCCAGTTCGAAGGAAATTTCATGATGGCATTATGTGATTAAGAAATTACAGTGTTACGAAGAACATTGAATAGTAATTTTTGGACTTTAATTCTTGTGAAGGGGTTTGTAGGTCTTGGTGGGCTAAGAGACAGGTTGCAAATATACAGACTTTTTTAAAAAAGAAATGCTTCCTACTTTATTAATTTACCTTATTAAAACGTTTGTTGTTGTTTCTTGTATTCACATCTAGATCAAAATAAAAAATTATGATAGCAACAGGAGGAGTCATAACAGGACTGGCTGCCTTAAAGCGGCAAGACTCTGCCAGATCCCAGCATCATCTAAATCTTGCGACATCAGCAGCTACCGAAGAACAAAAGCCAGTAAAACGCCGACCCAGAGCAGATGTAGTCGTGGTCCGAGGCAAGATTCGACTTTATTCCCCATCAGGATTCTTCCTTGTTCTGGGAGTGCTTATCTCATTTCTGGGGATTGCTATGGCAATCCTTGGCTATTGGCCTGAAAAGGAGCCTTTTCCGGAGTCTGAATACAGCTTGCCACTAAATGATACCCAAGTCATAGAAAAAGAAGATGGAATTATAATTCGTTTCTTTGAACAGCACTTGCATTCTGATAAGATGAAAATGTTGGGGCCTTTCACTATGGGGATTGGAATCTTTATATTTATTTGCGCAAATGCTATGCTCCACGAAAACCGTGACAAGGAGACAAAAATCATACACATGAGAGACATCTATTCCACTGTCATTGACATACATACTCTGAGGATCAGTGAACAGAAGCAGCTAACTGCGGCCTACACAGGCTTAGTGGGGGAGAATGAAGTCAAGCACAACGGAAGCTCTTTCGCATCACGGCTGGCTGCAAATACAATTGCACCCTTCTCAGGCTACGCAAGCAACTTTCGAATAGACAGCAGTGCTGAGGAGGAGGAAATTGCGGCTAGTGATGGCAAAAACACTACTCATCTTCTGCCACCTTTGCTTACTGAGCGCTCTGGTTCAGTCTTCGGCCTTTACCCTCACTCTGGAAAGTCAAAGGATGATAGGAGTAGCAGCTCTTTAAAGTGTGAAACGAAGTCAATTGTGTCATCCTCCATCAATGCTTTCACGTTACCTGTAATTAAACTAAATAACTGTGTTATTGATGAGCCCAGTATAGACAACATTACTGAGGATTCTGTTAGCACTAGAGGCAGGCCTAGAAATTTATCCATGGACTCTCTACCCAACGACATGTACAAACATTCCAGCACATTGATACCAAGAAACAGTTTATACGGAGACTCCTCATCCAAATCTTCTATGAATCTTGGGCCCAGTACAGGAAAGCTTCTGTCACCTGGTGCAGCCAGAAAACAGTTTGGGTCCAACACCTCTTTGCATCTTTTGTCCGTGCACTCAAAATCCCTAGACTTAGATAGGGGCCCTTCTACTCTGACTGTCCAAGTTGAACAAAGAAAACACCCAAGTTGGCCAAGACTGGACCGGAGCAACAGTAAAGGTTATATGAAACTAGAAAACAAAGAAGATCCAATGGACAGGCTGCTTGTGCCATCAGCAACAGTCAAGAAGGACTTTACTAACAAAGAAAAACTTCAAATGATTTCCAGATCGCATAATAATTTGAGTTTTGAGCATGATGAGTTTTTGAGTAACAATCTAAAACGTGGAACTTCTGAGACAACATTTTGACAGGGGACTAAATGTGTCAGTATTTTTTAGCAAAACAAAACATTTTGACACGTGATTCTTTTTTGGTTTGGTTTTCCAGTGAAACTGTCACAAGCCTGTTTTTACCAAATGTTTCTATCCGATTAAAATGGCCTTGTGTTAGCAAAGGTGTTATTTTTCACCTCTGCAGTGCCAAGTGTTTAATGTCAAGCAGCTTGTTCATCAAAACACTGCACTGGCATAGTGATGATTGGATGGTGTTCGTGCTTGGATGGTAATTGGATGGTGGTTTGAGAATTGATATCTTCTTAATTTACAATTGCAATACTGTATATTATCACTGCTCAACATATCTCAGATCCTTTTCCTCCCAGTCATTACTCGTTTTGTTTCTATGTAAGCATGCTATCTTTCATTACTGTGAGTCAACAATACGAGCTGACTGAATAAGCTTCGATGTTCAGAGCCGTCAATGATGGCAACATGTTAACAATGGTGCTTTTAACTGGAGATGGAGATGGATGGAAGGTTTGCTGTGGTGGAGCCAAATTTAGCCCATCAGTATATCCAGTGGAAAAATTCACTGTTTTCCTTTTAAAAAGAAAGAATTCTATATCAGCAGGATTCTATTGAAAGGAATAATAGGATTCTGTTTTATATAGATTCTATTCTATATCAAAACCTGCGTTCAAAGCTTTCAAATGAGGTGTGCCATGTGGGTATTAGTGTTTTGAGCAACATGAATGAGTCCAAGTTTCCCTTGGGCATGTGAAACTAGTTCATGGTTTTTCTTGGAATCCAAAGCGTAAAGTAGATAATGAGTATGATCTGCAAGGATATTTCTGCCGTGCAATAAACACATAGCATATTATCTGTGTAGTAACAGTTCATCCCCGCTCCAAGCAGGGAATGCACAAAGAAATTCTCTGTAGTTTGCACACCAAGCAGGGAATGCACAAAGAAATTCTCTTACATATGATAGTAATAATGCATTGTCTAATATTAATAAAAACTGCTACCATATTGATTAGGATTTGCAAGAAAGGCTATGCAGATTGAAAACCATTTTTGTGAACTTGCTATAATCAAGTGAATACCAGTGTTGTCTGTAGTTCTGTTATGACGACAAGGGGATGGATTAAGCTAGAAAGATGAGATGGTTTCTGATCTAGGATGCTAAGAAGAAGAAGAGGAGTTTGGATTTGATATCCCGCCTTTCACTCCCTTTAAGGAGTCTCAAAGCGGCTATGATTCTCCTTTCCCCTCCTCCCCCACAACAAACACTCTGTGAGGTGAGTGGGGCTGAGAGACTTCAAAGAAGTGTGACTGGCCCAAGGTCACCCAGCAGCTGCATGTGGAGGAGCGGAGACGCGAACCCAGTTCCCCAGATTACAAGACTACCGCTCTTAACCACTACACCACACTGGCTCTCAGTAAGACAGCTGGTTGTTCTAAATATGGGACTAGGGGCTAGGGGTTGAATAAGGCTCAGTGCTAGGGGGATACGAGTAGCACTGTGGTCTAAACCACTGAGCCTCTTGGGCTTGCCAATCGGAAGGTTAGCAGTTTGAATCCCCACAACAGAGTGCTCCATCCCAGCTCCTGTTAATCTAGCAGTTTGAAAACATGCCAGTGCAAGTAGATAAATAGGTTCTACTGCGGCGGGTTTCCATGCTTTCTGGCTTCTGTCACAGTGTTCCATTGCACCAGAAGTGGTTTAGTTATGCTGGCCACATGACCTGGAAAGCTGTCTGTGGACAAATGCCGGCTCCCTCAGCCTGAAGCAAGATGAGCACCACAACCCCATAGTCACCTTTGACTGGACTTAACTGTCCAAGGGTCATTTATCTTTACCTAAGGCTCAGTGCTGGCCAAGAAAAACCCACCTTGTTTGACGATATCACTGTTACAGCATTTTTAGGTGTTTCTTTAGAAGTATGAGGTATGGTATAGCTATACCTGGCACTTCAGAGATATAAATTTCAATATGTATGTACCCTACCTGTCAAAGAGTGGGATGACAGTGAATTCAAGTAGTTATGGCATTTAAATAAATGATGTGTGGAGAATGGTTGTTCTGTTGTACAACAAAGCCTTTTTCTGGTTATAGTGTGAACTCAAATAACAAATATAGTGGTACCTCTGGTTACATACTTAATTCATTCCGGAGGTCCGTTCTTAACCTGAAACTGTTCTTAACCTGAAGCACCACTTTAGCTAATGGGGCCTCCCGCTGCTGCCACGCCGCCGCTGCACGATTTCTGTTCTCATCCTGAAGCAAAGTTCTTAACCCGAGGTACTATTTCTGGGTTAGCGGAGTCTGTAACCTGAAGCGTATGTAACCTGAAGTGTATGTAACCTGAGGTACCACTGTACTGCAATTCATTAATGATGCTGACATTAAATATGAACCTGCTGTTGACCACAGTTTTCAAGAACTAAAACATTACTTGTTGCAGGGATACACTGCATTGTGAACTGCTGCAAAGATGATGATACTGATATCAGACATTTCTTCTCCTCCAGTTGGGTCACCGTTGAAGTTGAACGTTATTGCTAAAGAAATTAGCAGTGTGAATAGGTCTGCCAGAAAACTTCCTTACATTGCCTTAAGGCAGTTAGACCCTAATCTTGCTAATGAGTCTATTGTAACCCATTCCACCCCTTGTGGTTTGGCCAATAGATCACAGTGTTAATTGGTCATTTTAGCAGATGTTTCATATTTTCACTTAACCTAAATAACTCAGGAATTATTTGAATAGCTTCTCCCTAAACAATCAGAAATGTAAAAATGTTGTACACCAGTTGACTGTGAAAGACAAATAACAGATTCCCGCCCCCCCCCATTAATGTCCAGCTCCATATTCTAACAATGTGGTGTTTCTTTGTCAAAAGCATTACTTGCCCAGTGAATTGAGGCATAGTGTTAATCTGTTAGAATCTCAAGCCTATATATTGTAACAGAGTTGGCTACATATTTTGCTATGAAGCTTTTAATAACTTTCTGGTCAGTGTTCTTAATATATTTGCTATTTTTTTAAAATAAAAACCAAATGTTAAACTACGCGAGTATCATAAATGTGTCTTTGGCGTTCATTAGTTCTGCTGTTAAAATGAAAAGGGAAGGACAAACTAATCATTCTTTGGTGTGAGTCCTTTTCCTCCCCTACATAACAATCAGTGTCGGTGCTCCTTACTGTTTTACAAAGGAGCAAAATCTTTTCCTAAAGATATTTCTCAGTAACAAGAACGACAGAACTATACATTCAAAACAACAGAGGGCCCAAAATTAATTACTGAGTGCATCCCAACTTCAGTCAAATAGAATTAATTACTTGTGTGGGCCTTGAGCACTTAACCAAGATTTTCGACAATACTGCTTTTAGATTGCATCCCTGGATAGCAACATCCCACATTGACTATGGCACTACACAGGGTTTCTGCATCATTCATGCGTGTCTTGGGGAGCTGTTCATTCAGTTGTTTAATGTGCACCCAACACTAGCAAAATCTGTCTAGCTCTGAAGAAGAAGAAGAAGAAGAAGAGTTTGGATTTGATATCCCGCCTTTCACTCCCCTTCGGGAGTCTCAAAGCAGCTAACATTCTCCTTTCCCTTCCTCCCCCACAACAAACACTCTGTGAGGTGAGTGGGGCTGAGAGACTTCAGAGAAATGTGACTGGCCCAAGGTCACCCAGCAGCTGCATGTGGAGGAGCAGGGAATCGAACCCGGTTCACCAGATTACGAGTCCACCGCTCTGAACCACTACACCACACTGGATCTGGAAGTCTCCTTTGTGTTTCAGACAGAGTTTATTTATGTGTAAAGTATTTCGATACTGCCATATAATAAAGAAGGCCTAACACAGGTAGCACCTAGAAGAGGAACCCTGAGACATGGGATTTTGTGTCGCTGGTGACACGCCATCAAAACTTAGTACTACATAACACTGATAAATATGACCAAAGTGGGTTTTTGTCTTTTTTACCCAGATTACTTTGAGCTCCAGTCTTGCTGAGTTTTTGAAATACAACTAGTAAGACTATCACAGACAAAAAAGTGGTTATCCACAGGGAAAATGTCAGCATACGAAAATCAGAATAATAAGCAGCATTTCCTTAAAAGAAACCCTTTAAAAAGATCCACAGCATTCCCCAAGATTCCCATTAAAAAGCCTTCCCCTTTCCCAGATGCACAACTAAATGGATGCAAGCCAAGGTTTACATTTAGTATCAGTCAAAGAAGCATAAAGAAGTATTTGCATCTAGAAAAGGACTTCCTTGAACAATCCATATCTTTGCCAAGAGCACTCCAGGAACTGGAACTAAATACCATGAAAGATATGTAGCTCCAGCTCTTCTAATGTAAGAATTTGTCTGTTTTGCATTATTCACCCTCTGCTGAGTAAGAGTTATGTTGGGTCTGATGGTACTGGATATGGAATGAAGCCAGCCAAATGTTGCATTTTATGTGCGCGAACAATTTCCTGCATTTTGCTAACAACAATTTTGTTACCCTAAGGGCAGTCAGGGCTGGTTCCTGTGGCATCGACACCGGTCAGGTGGAATGCTAGGAGCCCAAAGAGTAGGCGGAGCCCAAGCCAGTGATGGGCAGATCTAATTCTAGTCCCCCCCCATTTTTCTCTCCTGAGTTCTACAAGGTCAACACTGAAGCTAAGTAATAGTCATACGAGAAATATGTAAAATAACCAAGCAAGTATTAGAAATCACCCCAGAAATGGCCCTACTAAACATCTTCCAAGACAACAATGCCCACTTACACCACAAAGAACTCATAACCCACCTACTCTCAGCAGCCAGAAACATCATAACCAGACACTGGAGAGACCTGGCAGGAGTAAGCATGGACCATGGTACCAAATAGTATGGGAAACAGCCTTACTAGAAAAATTAAGCAATAAACTGAAACTGACACAGGGACAAATAGAAGAAGACGCCTTCACCCCAGTATGGCTCCCCTTTATCACATATAAAGCCCAACAAGACGACAAAAATCCACCAACAGCATAGAAATCAATATGGCTAACCTGATCCAAAACACCCACCCACCCCACTCACACATGAAAACAAAGACCACCACAGCCAACCACAAATGAACAGCCACACCCTAGGCCAACCCCAACCTCTCTCACCACCAAAGGATCACAAGTGAACAGCAGAGAACCCACACAAGCAAAAACCCAATGTATTAGTTCATAGAATTAAATTGACAGTCTTATGAAAAGAATCCAGTTGTATCTGTAAGGCTAATGAAGAAGATTTTAAAGACCATAAGCTTTTCTGGGGAATTATTTACCTATGCTATTGATGGCAAGAACGGAACTGGAGCATTCAAGTCAAAGTTGCTGTTTGTTTGTTTGTTTGTTTTATCTAAACATGTCAGGGTGGTTCACAACACAGTTATCTCTGCTAACTGTACTATGAACTCACCTACACAAGCCCATTCTTGAAGCTGTAGTTTGATTCCGTTAATCAGAAAAAGAATAATGACACTGCTGTTACTTTGATCAGTATTTTACCTATTCTTTCATTTGCCTTTGCCTGAAGAAGGGTACAAGTTCACACTTCCAACATTTTAAAATTATCTGGTGTCTTACTCACTAAGCATATTTTATGTCCTCTGGATCCTATATACTTACAAAGATTTTGGCCTTGGGCAAGCTTATTTCCACTATTTTTAACAGAATGCAGTTTCAGGTATTAAATTGACACATTTCTAACCATTCAACATGACAATGGTACATATCTCTGTCTTGGATTTTCAGTTGCCCTTCTGCAAAAGGAAGAGCTCCTTGCATTTGTGGAAAGGTCTCTGATCCAGCAGTGGTTCCCACGGGGAGAAATTGTGGGAGGGGGAGAGATTTTTGCCAAATCCCCCTTCCCAAGTCTCCAGAACAAGGACTTTTGTGTGGAGAAGGAATCAGCGAGTTTGTCTTACAGATGCAACTGGATTCTGAATAAGAATTTTAATTTAATGAGCTGAACAAATAATATGAACCAGTACTTTGGGATCTTGCTTCTGCTAACGGGTGCATCCTGTGAGTGGAGTTTCATTCAAGGGATCTCAGGATCCATTTTGCAGACATTTATTTTAGAAGCCATTGTCCTTTTCTGAAACTAAAGCTGATCCATTTAGCTCTGCACTTTGCTACTGATCCAAACCATAATTATGTCCGCCAGCCACAAAGGCTGCTGTCTATTTTTCCTTTAGTTAATCAACTTAAGATAAGAATTCTTCCATCCCTAACAGTCTAACACTTTATAATTAATACTGTGCTTTAATCAATTGTGTCTTTGCCTAAAGTTCTACAGGTTACCTGTTAAATGTGTGCCCTTTAATCAGTTTTAAATGAGTTGCTTTTTAAATTTCATTGCACAGTCTATTAATTCTTCTAATATAAGAAATGATGATAGAGGCAACTGATTTACATAACATTAATTATGGTGCGTCTTTGACAGAACTTTCCTAATTAATTCCCCCCTTAAAAGTTATAATCTTTAGACTCTCTCTCCAATAGATAGCCTTTCTAAATTTCTATTCATTTTCTTACATGCAGCAAAGTAAAGCATGGAAATATAGGCTGTAAAATCTTAAAATGTGCCTTTTAGAATGAATTCACTGATGTCCACCTCAAAGTCACTGAACACATGGAGGAAAAGTGGGATGCTCCCACTGAGTCTACTTGATGGTTCCACCCACTGACCTGTATGAATTCAGTAGAAGGTCAAAATGGGGAGCCTACATGTCAACTGATTGGTTCAAAATTGGAAAAGGAGTACAATAAGGCTGTATAGTGCCTCACTGCTTATTTAACTTATATGCAGAATTCATCATGTGAAAAGCTGGACTGGATGAATCCCAAGGCAGAATTAAGATCGCCGGAAGAAATATCAACAACCTCAGATATGCAGATGACACAATTTTGATGGCAGAAACTGAGGAGGAATTAAAGAACCTCTTAATGAGGGTGAAAGAGGAACGCGCAAAATATGGTCTGAAGCTCAACATCAAAAAAAACTAAAATCATGGCCATTGGTCCCATCACCTCTTGGCAAATAGAAGGAGAAGAAATGGAGGCAGTGCGAGATTTTACTTTCTTGGGTTCCATGATCACTGCAGATGGTGACAACAGTCACGAAATTAAAAGACGCCTGCTTCTTGAGAGAAAAGCAATGACAAACCTAGACAGCATCATACAAAGCAGAGACATTACCTTGCCGATAAAGGTCTGTATAATTAAAGCTATGGTTTTCCCAGTAGTGATGTATGGCAGTGAGAGCTGGACCATAAAGAAGGCTGATTGCCGGAGAATTGATGCTATTGAATTATGGTGCTGGAGGAGACTCTTGAGAGTCCCAAGGACTGCAAGAAGATCAAACCTATCCATTCTTAAGGAAATCAGCCCTGAGTGCTCACTGGAAGGACAGATCGTGAAGCTGAGGCTCCAATACTTTGGCCACCTCATGAGAAGAGAAGACTCCCTGGAAAAGACCCTAATGTTGGGAAAGATTGAGGGCACAAGAAGAAGGGGACGGCAGAGGACGAGATGGTTGGACAGTGTTCTCGAAGCTACAAACATGAGTCTGCCCAAACTGCGGGAGGCAGTGGAAGACAGGAGTGCCTGGTGTGCTCTGGTCCATGAGGTCGCGAAGAGTCGGGCACGACTAAACAACTAAACAGCAAAAACAACAACACACATGTGCACCTGTAAATGCATAGGCTCCTCCTCCTCCACATGACAACATGGAGGAGCATGCGTGCATTCAGCTATAGATTTGTAGGCTCAGACTTTGTACTGGGCATGTGGTGAGTACAACAGTGTGGTCTGTAAGCGCAATGGGCACAGCCCCACTTCCCCTACCAATGCATCCAGTGAATGTCTGGAGGCTGGAGGGCACCTGTGAACCGGCTCTCTAACAGAATAAGGCTAATTCCCTCGATTCTTACACTTCATTCTCCTTTCCCTTTTCCCCCCCGTTGCCCTTCTCTGCCAATACAATAACATTTTGCATTGTTTTTAGCCATCTTCTGCACGGCGAGCTGATGGTACGTTTGCACAGTATCTGAAAACATGGATATCACTTTTCTGAATTACAGTTGGGTCAAAAATCTGTTACTCAAAGGCAAGGAATTTCAAGCATGCTTCAGAAATAATAATGTTCATAATGTATTTGGGGGCTTCTTCTGGTAGATTATATTGCCCATGTCACAAGCTTTTTAAAGGATTTCAATCACCAGTGTGGAGTGCTTTTTGGATATAGGTTGACCCTGCTAGTCAGATATAATGAAACAATACCTGTTCCTGCTGAGTCTTCATTATCATTTTAATAGAGAGATCACACTGATATGCTGTGAGAGAATTATATCCTTACCAATCATGTAGCTTCTCCATCAGAATACGAAAGGGTCTTAGATACAGAGCTCCAGTGATGAATGCGTAGATGCTGATATGAAATTGGGGGGGGGGTGAGGTAAAGAAGCATATTGCTCCAAAGGAGATTATCATGGATCAAAAGGTACAAATGAAACTGCTCACATTCAGCCTCTGTTGAAAGGAAGGGACTTTGTCTGGAAGAAGAGCCTGGTGAATTGCTAAAGAAGGACACATTTCCTAGTTTCAGAAAATAAAGATCTGCAAGTTGAGTGTTAATTTGAAGTAGTCAATGGACAGTAATGTAGATTCAAATTAGTATAACAAAAGGAGAGACTATAAATTGGGATGGGGAATGTGTGGCCCTCCTTGTGATGTTGGACTATAACTTTCTTTTTTTTAAAAAAATAATTTTTATTAACAAACCAATCAAGTCACACTAGTTCCAAATTACAAAACTGAATTTTAAATTTTTGTTGGGGGTACCCATGCTTCGAGCTCAGAAAGGGATCCAATCTTCTCTATTGCTGCTGCCTTGATGTTCACAGTTCTGTCCAAATAATGTTCACAGTTCTGTCCATTCCTCTCTTTGTTGTTTTCCTCATCTCTTCTTGTTGTTATCGTATATTTTTCCTTCATTGTGACCTCTGATAGTCTCCACAAGCGAGTTGAAAACAAGCGTTATTATAGTCCTGTGTGGATTTTTCCATTCATCCAGGAGTCATATTCAGACAGCAGACGCATTTCACCACTTCCATAGAAAACAATCTTAACGTCTGCTCATTAATCTTCGCAGGCCTGTCACTCCCTTCTCGATCTTCTCAGAGGGTTCTGCCAGATCAAACACAGAGTCCAATATAATAACAAAGCCATGGCTTCCTCCCCCTCTTGATCGTCAATCCTGCAACAAAGCCTGCCTGTCATGGCGAATCTCTTTTTATAACTGCGTCATTCCAAAAGCCTTTGATTCCTTTCCAGATCTCCACAAGCCAAACCCTTGGTTAGTAATTCATTTCCACACAGTTTCTTAATCATCCCGCTTATAATCAATTATTGCAATGGTTCTTCTTGGAGGGGGGATTGTTAGGTAACCACATAGAGAAAAAAAGAAAAGTCCCTTTCCGTCCCGTTCCAACATACTGACTTCTTCTTGATATATTTTCCTGTTGAATCCAGCCCGTCGCTCAACTTCACAGAGGTCACTTCAATTAGCAGTCTAAACTCCCGTTTAAACTCAAAGCATGTGCATTTGCTGGTCTCTAATTGTTTATTTTAAGCTCCTGCAACCAGGTCGCGCGATCAGAGACGGCGTCAGGAGAGCCAGAAACCCACACGAGTGCTGTGTGCCTAGTGCCCTCACCCCCTTCTTCTTTCGAACTCGGGGGTGATTTATCGGCAACCGCAGGTGAAGGCAGTGTTTCCCCCATTCCCTGGGGAAACAAGGGAGGCTACATATTCCCATATTAGCCTCTTAATTACCTCGTGTGAGCCGGAGAGATGGTATTGTCGGCCATCTTCCAATGCGCCCCTAGCGGCCCCCCATTGGACTATAACTTTTATCACCCCTGACCTTTAGCCATGCTGGTTGAGACTGGTGGAGTCCAACAACACATTCCCCATTCCAGCTATATGCAGACATTACTACATTGTAAATTCACATTG